CAAGGTGGGTTCACCGGCCGTGTGTTTAACTTGTTTTCGTATTTTGGCTGTTTTTATTTCATTGTAGGCCAAAATAGCCAATAATGCTACAAATATTATTATATATAACATTTTTCCACTTTTTATTGATTTATTTTCAAATCTATTTTTATTTATTATTTTTTTTTTTTTTTTTTTTTTAATTCAAAATCTCCTCCTTCACCACATGGTATCTTCTTATCACGGTTGTATTAACTGAAATCTGTGCGTTTCGAAACATTTGTTTTTATATTAAATTATTGGAAAATAAAAGGGCGCTAACGGGGGGAGATTATCTGGTTCCTGTCACATTTTCACTGACCTAATTAGAATCTTAGCAAATTATCACAATTACCGATTATAAAATGTGTGTGTCTTATTTTTTTTAATTGGCCATTTTAAATGTTCTTAGGATTGGTAGAGCGTAATTAAAATATTTAATTTTATATTAAAATACAATTTATTCATCTGAAACCAAAACCAGCCGAGGAGTATTGAGGTAGGACTGATATAATATTGGAACCATTTCCAATGGCAATTTGGGAAAAGCCCTGCAGGTTTTCTATATATGGATTTTAAGGTTGATATTAAAAAAAAAAAACAAATAAAAAAGCCCGGCCCGGCCGAACTTTGAATAACCTCCACCATTCGAAAGGAATTTGAAAATTTTCAAAAAAAAAAACTCTGTCGAAAAATACCTTTTAAATAAAAACCTTTTTATGAGGGCTATACGAAGACATGGTGCTGGATAAGTAATTTTCAGTCATGGGCTGTAGTAACGATTCCGAACTTCAAATACGAAATTCGAAACAATTCCGGTGAATAATGTCGCTAAAATCATCAAAATACCGAATATCGGGAGCTACCGTTATATGGGGGCTATACGAAGACCTGGACCTGCACAGACAATTTTCTGTCTTTGGCTTTAGTATCCATTTCGAACTTCAAATACCAAATTTGAAACAATTCCGGTGAATAATGTCGCTAAAATCATCAAAATACCGAAAGGAGGTACCTTTGTATGGTGGCTATACGAAGACCTGGACCTGCACAGACAATTTTTTGTCTTAGGCTGTAGTAACGATTCCCAACTTCAAATACGAAATTCGGAACAATTCCGGTAAATGATGCCGCTAATATCATCAAAATACCGAAAATCGGGAGGTACCTTTGTATGGGGGCTATACGAAGACGTGGACCTACTCGTACAATTTTTTGTCTTTGGCTGTAGCATCCATTACGAACTTCAAATACCAAATTTGAAACAATTCCGGTGAATAATGTCGCTAAAATCATCAAAATACCGAATATCGGGAGGTACCGTTGTATGGGGGCTATACGAAGACGTGGACCTACTCGTACAATTTTTTGTCTTTGGCTGTAGCATCCATTACGAACTTCAAATACCAAATTTGAAACAATTCCGATAAATAATGTCGCTAAAATCATCAAAATACCGAATATCGGGACGTACCGTTATTTGGGGTCTATACGAAGACCTGGTCCTGCACAGACAATTTTCTGTCTTAGGCTGTAGTATCCATTACGAACTTCAAATACCAAATTTGAAGCACTTCCGTTGAATAATGTCGTTAAAATTATCAAAATACCGAAAATCGGGAGGTACCGTTATATGGGAGCTCTACGAAGACGTGGACCTGCATAGACAATTTTCTGTCTTAGGCTGAAGTATCCATTACGAACTTCAAATATCAAATTTGAAACAATTCTGGTGAATAATGTCGCTAAAATCATCCAAATAACGAATATCGGGAGGTACGGTTATAAGGGGGCCATACCAAAAGGTGGCCCTATTTGGCCCATTTTCAAAACCAAAAGTCCTGTGTATAGATAAGTTGAAACTGTACACAATCTTTGGATGATTCGCATCCACATCGTCAGTGGTCTTAGATATACAATGTGCAAAAACTACGTTGGTATAAAGTGTAAGAGAGAGAGGGAGAGAGAGAGATAGGGAGAAAGAGAGACTTCCCGTAACCTAACTCCAACATACCACATGTGGCAACGGAGAAATCCTGAATGATTTATTTCTAATGACCTCAATGGTCTGCTTACCACATATTCATATCTTATTAAACAGTATTACAACAGATTACTGTTTAATTAAATTCTCTCTCTCTCTGTCTCTCTCTCTCTCTCTTCTACACAAGATAGCACCGCTATTTCTATGTTCACTTATCCGTGAGCAAAATTTTTTTTATCCAAATTTCCATATCGATTGTTGTTACGATTAAAGATTTCCTAGAGGCCAATTCGAACCTGCCGCTGTTTTTACGTTCTGAGGCGTATTTTTTTTGTAATAGAACTGAGTTCTCTGATATCGTATTTTTTCTTATCTCTAGACCTGAATGGCAATGCCATGCTGCTTTGGTGGGGGTTGTGGTCTTTACTATAGCGCCTATCCAATCAACAAACCCTTCATTGCGATCGCCTACTAAAGCACTGTATTACCTGGAAACTGCTTTATCACCACAACCAACTGGAAGAGATTAAATGGTCAATACTAAAGAAAATATCGAGACCCAGCGTTAAGGAGAAAATCCACATCAAAATCGACCTGAAGGTAATTTGGAAATTCGAAAAAAATGAATTAAAGAAATGATAAATTTTTATAAAATTAAGGCCGAGAGGTTTTTTCTTCAAGCGGTCCAACAAATCCCAATCCAAATATCCATATTTTGGAGGGTATGTTAAGTGTGTCATTCTGCTTGTAATACCTCCAAATATACATTTTAGACCCCACAAAGTATACCTGTATATTCTTTATCAGCATAAAAGTCTATGTCGATTTAGAATGCCCGCCCGTCTGCCTGTCCGTCCGTCTGTGGAAATCGCTCTAGCTTCCGAACGAATTGAAGTAGATTGATAAAATTTTACTCAAATGTATATTATGTCTGGAGGACTTTTGGTATTGAAAATGGGCCATGTAGGTCCACGTAGGTACACGTTTTGGTATAGCCCCATATAACGGTACCTCCCGATATTCGTTATTTTGATGATTTTAGCGACATTATTCAAAAGAATTGTTTCAAATTTGGTATTTGAAGTTTGTAATGGATACTAGAGCCTATGACAGAAAATTGTCAGTGCAGGTCCAGGTCTTCGTATAGCCCCCATATAACGGTACCTCCCGATATTCGGTATTTTTGTGATTTTAGTGACATTTTTCACCGGAATTGTTTCAAATTTGGTATTTGAAGTTCGCAATGGATACTTCAGCGTAAGAAAGAAAATTGTCCGTGCAGGTCCACGTCCTCGTGGAAATAGTCCCCATACAAGGGTACCTCCCGATATTCGGCATTTTGATGATTTTAGCGACATTATTTAACGGAATTGTTTCAAATTTGGTATTTAAAGTTCGTAATAGATACTACAGCCTAAGTCAAAAAATTGTCTGTGCAGGTCCACGTCTTCGTATAGCCCCCATATTACTGTACCTCCCGATATTCGGTATTTTGATGATTTTAGTGACATTTTTTACCGGAATTGTTTCAAATTTGATCTTTGAAGTTCCAAAGAGATACTACAGCCTAAGACAGAAAATTGTCTATGCAGATCCACGTCGTCGTATAACCCCTATACAACGGTACCTCCCGATATTCGGTATTTTGACGATTTTAGCGACATTATTCACCGGAATTGTTTCAAATTTGGTATTTGAAGTTCCAAAGGGATACCACAGCCTATGACAGAAAATTGTCTGTGCAGGTTTACGTCTTCTAATAGCCCCCATACAGGGGTATGTCCCGATATTCGGTATTTTGATGATTTTAGCGACATTATTCAACGGAATTGATTCAAATTTGGTATTTGAAGTTCCAAAGGGATACCACAGCCTAAGACAGAAAATTGACTGTGCAGATCCACATTGTATAACTCCCATGGTACCTCCTTATATTCGGAATTTTGATGATTTTAGCTTCTTTATAAACAGATTTGAATAGCTAATGACAAAAGTTGCCTATGCAGGTCCACGTCCTCGTATAGACCCCAATATAACGGCTATTATCGGTATTTTAAAGATTTTATCAGAATTTTTAACGGATTTATTTATTTTTTTTTTTTTTTGAAAATTTCTAAATTCGTTCCAAATGCTGGATGGTATTCAAAGTTCGGCCCGGTCGAACTTGTTGATTTTAACTTTATTTTTCTTCAAGCGATCCAACAAATCCCAATCCAAATTTTGTAAATTTTTTAATTTAAGATTAAAATTGGAGAATTTTATAATGACCAAATAATCCGTGGGATAACATCAAACTGTGAAATACTACTTTGGCCTAGGTCAGGATTGCCCACAAACAGGTGACTAATTTTTATAGTTTTTTTTTTTTTTAATTTTCAACAATTGTTTTTGGGTTATTTATAGCCCCTCCCTGATTACCTCAGCCCTCAAGTGCAGCGACAAAATGTTCCCAGCACTCGTTTTTACCTTTAAGTTCCTCCAAACGGCACGTAATCAATGAGTCCCCTAAAATAGAACCAACAGCTATCATCTGAAACATACGATCGATAACAGGCTGTGAAATTATTCGTCAAAGACTTTGAACTCTAGCGGTGATTAGGATGGCTGGATACTTCAGAGTGAAGTCAACCAAATGGTTGATTGACTGGCCCGGTCCGGTCGATTGATTATCAAAACAAACAAACAAACAAACTTTGCAGCCAAAGTTAGGGCAACCGTAAATGAGTCAATTATGGCCACTCGAGTATCTTGAAATACGAAGCATAATCGAATAATTGAACGATATTATCTCGAAAATAATATTCTGAAATATGAATAAAAAAAAAATCGAAAAAAATAAGGGGGCAACCAGATAAGCTTTATTAGAGGTTATTATCAGAGAACTCTTTTGGGCCACGTCGAAATTTGAGGCGAAAGGGGAATATTTTCTATTTCCAGTTCGGAAAAGAGCCCGCTGACAAGTACATTACCGGTCAGTATATTTTTTGAACGCTACGTGATCGGTGCTAAATTTTGGAAAAATAATTCAAGGGAAGCAAAAAATCCGAATTTTTTAAAAAAAATGGAAATGTTCGTATTGGCCCTGGCCATTGTGATCTTCACAGTGCTGTTCTTTAAGGGCATAAAGATCTTCAATTATATTGATCATGTTGCTGGGATAATGGAAATGATACCCGGTCCCACACCCTATCCATTTGTGGGTAACCTCTTTCAATTTGGTTTGAAGCCGGATGGTGAGTAAATCTCTGAACTTCCCAAAGGATTAAAACAAAAAAAAAAAAAAAATAGAAAAAAAAATATTTATCCTCGAAAAACAAGCCAGAGTTCAGTAACTGAGACCACTTTTTTTTGCCGAAGACAAAATCAAAGCCCTCGAAACAAAAACTTATTTCAAAGGGTTAATTTATTTGATGCCGAAAAAAAACAAACAGGCCTTAAGACGTGGAATTTTTAAAAGAATTTTAGAGGAACTCTGAAAGGCCTTCAGACGTGAATTTTTAAAGAATTTTAAAGGACCTCTGAAAGGCCTTCAGACGTGGATTTTTTAAAGAATTTTAGAGGACCGCTGAAAGGCCTTCAAACGTGGATTTTTTAAAGAATTTTAGAGGACCTCTGAAAGGCCTTCAAACGTGGATTTTTTAAACAATTTTAGAGGAACTCTGAAAGGCCTTCAGACGTGAATTTTTAAAGAATTTTAAAGGACCTCTGAAAGGCCTTCAAACGTGGATTTTTAAAAAAATTTAGAAGACCCTAGAAAGGCCTTCAAACATGGATTTTTAAAAAAATTTAGAAGACCCTAGAAAGGCCTTCAAACGTGGATTTTTTTATAGAATTTTAGAGGACCTCTGAAAGGCCTTCAGACTTGAATTTTATAGATAATTTAGAAGACCTTCAAGCGCGGATTTTTTTAAAAATTTTAGGAGATCTTCAAACGTGGATTTTTAAAAATTTTTTAAAAGACCTTCAAACGCGAATTTTTATAATAATTTTAGAGGACCTCTAAAAGGCCTTCAGACGTGGATTTTTTAAAGAATTTTAGAGCACCTCTGAAAGGCCTTCAGACGTGGATTTTTTAAAGAATTTTAGAGGACCTCTGAAAGGCCTTCAAACGTAGTTTTTTTAAGAGTTTTAGAGGACCTCTGAAAGGCCTTCAGACGTGGATTTTTTAAAGAATTTAAGAGGACCTCTGAAAGGCCTTCAGACGTGGATTTTTTAAGGAATTTTAGGGGACCCCTGAAATGCCTTCAGACGTGGATTTTTTAAAGAATTTTAGAAGACCTCTGAAAGGCCTTCAGACGTGGATTTTTTAAAGAATTTTAGAGGACCTCGAAAATGCCTTCAGACGTGGATTTTTTAGAGAATTTTAGAGGACCTCGAAAAGGCCTTCAGACATGGATTTTTTAAAGAATTTTAGAGGACCTCTGAAAGGCCTTCAGACGTGGATTTTTTAAAGAATTTTAGAGGACCTCTGAAAGGCCTTCAGACGTGGATTTTTTAAAGAATTTTAGAGGACCTCTGAATGGCCTTCAAACGTGGATTTTTTAAAGAATTTTAGAGGACCTCTGAATGGCCTTCAAACGTGGATTTTTTAAAGAATTTTAGAGGACCTCTGAATGGCCTTCAAACGTGGATTTTTTAAAGAATTTTAAAAGATCTGTAAAAGGCCTTCAAATGTGGATTTTTTAAAGAATTTTAGAAGACCTGCAGACGTTAATTTTTTTGAAGAATTTAGAAGACCTTCAAATGTGAATTTTTTAAAGAATTTTAGAAGACCTTCAAACGCGGATTTTTTTAAGAATTTTTTGAGGTCATCAAACGTGGATTTTTTTAAGAATGTTTTAGGGCCCCTGACGTGGATTTTTTAAAGAATTTTTAGATGTCTTCGAATGTGGATTTTTAAAGAATTTTTGGAGGCCTTCAAACCTGGATTTTTTAAAGAATTTTTAGAAGCCTTCAAATATGGATTTTTTTAAAAATAAATTGGAGGCCTTCAAACCTGGATTTTTTAAAGAATTTTTAGAAGCCTTCAAATATGGATTTTTTTAAAAATAAATTGGAGGCCTTCAGACGTGGATTTTTCAAAGAATTTTAGGGCTATGGACTTTTGTAACTCCTCTACGATTCCGATGCCCTCTGACTCTGAACTTGATATCTCCAGATCTGCATACAGAATCATTTCAAGCACTTAATTGGAGTGGCGCCCAACACAAGGCTACCATATACAAAACATTTTCTAATGCCTTAAATAATTTAAATAACTTCCATGCCTACCTCCTTCACCCTCAAAAATATTTCCCAGTTCGCACACACACACACATACTCACTTTAGCACCTGAATATTCACATAAAATGCCAGCTTTATCGTCGAACATTTTTGCGATAACTTTCAACCGAAACAATTTGTTGACAATTAACAAACAAATTAGATTATGTCAAAGGCATGGGCGGGCATGGGAGGCATAGTTGCTGAACATTAACCGGTAATTAAAAATGTATGCTAATAAAATGGGAGTGTGTGTGTGTGGCTAAAACACACACAGACACATTTGTCATACAAAAGTTCTACTTTCCGCTTTTATTGAGCGCAACCATAACAAAGATAAAAGAATTTACCGCCCCAAAGACCAGGAGTAGGTCTCCCCGGGCGGCTGCTATCAAAATCGTTTATTTAATCTCTTCCACTTTCATTTGTCTCACATGCTTTCCCCCTCTCCCTCTCTTTTTCAGAATATCCCAAGAAAATTTTACAATATTGCCGGAAATATGATTTTCAAGGCTTCCGTTCATTGGTTTTCTTTCAATATCATGTCATGTTAAGTGACCCAGCAGAAATTCAGGTAAACACACACACCCTCATACATATATATGCATATGATCTTCACACACACATGAAAATTTATGTTTCCCCTGCCCCTCGTTTCACAACAAATAATCCTTTCGTTATATTCTCTCATATTTACAGAACATGCTCTCCAGTTCATCTTTGCTCTACAAAGAACATTTGTATTCATTCCTGCGTCCATGGCTGGGTGATGGTCTCCTAACGAGCTCCGGTGCCAGATGGCTTAAGCATCAAAAGCTGTATATGCCCGCCTTTGACAACAAAGCTGTGGAGGGCTATATGCAGGTGGTGAATAGGACGGGTAAAAAATTCACCCACAAATTGCGGCAACATGCCGACGATGGGGAGGTATTTGATATTCAGGAGATTGTGAGGAAATGCACGCTGGATATTGTGTGTGGTAAGTAAGGAGCTCAAATTTTTCAATGAAAACGTGTATTTTTAAAGAATTCTTGAGAATCTCTAAAAGATCCTAAGACGTGGAATTTTAAAACAAAATTGGAGGCCTACAAACGTGGATTTTTAACAATTTTTGAGGACCTTTAAAAGGTCCTACGACGTGGATTTTCTAAAGAATTTTTAAGGACCCCTATAAGGCCCTAAGATTTGAATCTGTTTAAGAATTTTTGTGAACCTCTGAAAGGTCCTAAAACGTGGATTTTCTAAATAATTTTTAAGGACCCCTAAAAGACCCTAAGATTTCGATCTTTTTAAGAATTTTTGTGAACCTCTGAAAGGCCATAAGACGTGGATTTTTTTCGGCGTTTTAGAGGACCTCTAAAAAGCGCTACGACGTGGCATTTTTAAAGAATTATTGGGGACCTCTAAAAGGCCCTATAATGTGAATTTTTTAAAATAATTATTGGAGGACCTATGAAAGCCCCTACGTCACGGATTTTTTAAGAACTATAAAAGCCCCATACGACACGGGATTTTTAAGAATTTTCGAGGACCATTGAAATTTTTGAGGACCTTTAATGAATTTTTAGGGAGTCCTAAAGCCCTCATGACTTGATTTTTTTAATAATTTCTCAGGGACCTGGAAATGCCCTAAGACGTGGATTTTTTAAACAATTTTCGAGGACCTCAGAAAGGTCCTAAGACGTGGATTTTTTTAACGATTTTCGAGAACCTCGGAAAGGTCCTAAAACGTGGATTTTTTAAGAATTTTTGAAGACCTTTAAGCATTTTTTAAAAAAATTTTGAGGACCTCGAGAAGACCCAAGCGGTGAATTTTTTAAGGAATTTTTGAGGACCTCGAGAAGACCCAAGCGGTGAATTTTTTAAGGAATTTTTGAGGACCTACAAAAAGCCCTAAAATTTCAATTTTTTAAATAACTTTTTAGGACCTCTAAAAGACCCTAAAGAATTTTTGAGGACCTGTTAAAACCCTATGACGATCATTTTTTAAAAGAATTTTTGAGGACCTCTGAAAGGCCCTAAGACGTGGATTTTTTAAACAATTTTTGAGGACCTCTGAAATGTCCTAAGACGTGGATTTTTTAACAAATTTTTGAGAACCTTTGGAAGGCCATAAGACGTGGATTTTTTAAAGAATTTTTGAGGACTTCTGAAAGGCTCTAAGACGTGGATGTTGTAAAGAATTTTTGAGGACCTTTGAAAGGCTCTAAGACGTGGATTTTTTGAAGAATTTTTGAGGACCTTTGGAAGGCTCTAAGACGTGGATTTTTTGAAGAATTTTTGATGAGTCCTATAGTCCTCATGACGTGATTTTTTAATTATATTTCAGGGACCTGGAAAGGTCCTAAGTCGTGGACTTTTTAAAGAATTTTTGATTATCTCTAAAAGGTCCTAAGACGTGGATTTTTTAAAGAATTTTTGATGACCTTCAAAAGATCCTAAGACGTGGATTTTTAAAGAATTTTTTGTGACCTTCAAAAGATCCTAAGGCGTGGATTTTTTGAAGAATTTTTGGTGACCTTCAAAAGATCCTAAGACGTGGATTTTTTAAAGAATTTTTGATGACCTTCAAAAAATCCTAAGACGTGGATTTTTTTAAAGAATTTTTGATGACCTTCAAAAGATCCTCAGACGTGGATTTTTTAAACATTTTTTGAGGACCTCTGAAAGGTCCTAAGACGTGGATTTTTTTAAAGAATTTTTGAGGACCTCTGAAAGGCTCTAAGACATGGATTTTTTAAAGAAATTTTGAGGACCTCAGATAGACCCTAAGATGAGGATTTTTTAAAGAATTTTTGAGAACCTCTCAAAGGCTCTAAGACTTGGATTTTTTAAAGAAATTTTGAGGACCTCAGATAGACCCTAAGATGAGGATTTTTTAAAGAATTTTTGAGAACCTCTGAAAGGCTCTAAGACTTGGATTTTTTAAAGAAATTTTGAGGACCTCAGATAGACCCTAAGATGAGGATTTTTTAAAGAAATTTTGGGGACCTCAGATAGACCCTCAGATGAGGATTTTTTATAGAATTTTTCGTAACCTTCAAAAGATCCTAAGACTTAGATTTTTTAAAGAATTTTTTAGGGCCTCTGACGTGGATATTCTAATAAATTTTTGAGGACCTCTGGCGTGAATATATCTATAGAATTTTTGAGGACCTTTAAAAGAGGACCCCTGATGTGGAGTATTAGAGAATATTTGAGGACCACTGGGGAGCCTCAAAGGATGGAGTTTTAAGTATTTTTGGGAGCCCTTTAAATGGGTCTGTAAAGGCTAAATATTCTGGATTTTTTAAAAAGAGTTTTAGAGTGTCATTTAAATCATTTCTCCAGATTTCTTTTGAAATGGATCTAAAGAGTGATGGGTCTAAACGTTGATTTTGTGAAAAGATTTTGGGGTGTCCTTATAGTTCCTTTAACGTCAACCCCGTGAAGAACTCTTGGCGTGTCCTTAAAGGTCCTTTAACGTCGATTTTTTTAAAGATATTTTTGGGGCTTCTTTGAGGGTCTTATATGTGAAATTTTTACAGAAGCGACTAAGCGATTTTAAAGGTCCCACAATTTGGATTTTTTTTATAATTTTTTGGGTGTTCTTAAAGGTTCTTCAACATGGATTTTTTAAGATTTTTTTGCGCCTCTTGGGAGTCTGCATTGCGAGTTTTTGACGTCATTTTTAAAGGGACTTTAAAGACGCTACAACGTCGATTTTGTAAAAAAAATTTAGGATGTCCTTGAAGGTCCTTTGACATGGACTTCGTACAAAATTTGTTCCGCTTTTTTGAGAACCTAAAGAGTGGAATTTTTAAAATCATTCAACGTGGATTTAGAGAAGAACTTTTGGGATGTCATTTAAGGTCCTTCGACGTAGATTTTATAGAGAATTTTTGGGGCTTTTTAAGGTTCTTGTATGAGGACTTTTACAATGTTTTTTTAGGTGACTTTTAAGGAGCCCAAAAATTAGAAATCTTTGCTAAATTCTTAGGATGTCCTTGAAGGTCCTTTAACGTGTTTTTTTAAGAATTTTTTGGCGCTTCTTGAGGGCCTAAACTGTGAATATTACATAATGTTTAAGGGGACTTTAACGGTCCTTAAGTTTTGTGAAAAAAAAAATTTAGGATGCCCTTGAAGGTCCTTTAACGTGGATTTTTAGTTTTTTTAAGGGTCTACTGTGAGGATTTTTACCGATTTTTTTAGGGTACTTTGAAAGTCTTTCAACGTCGATTTGTAGCGAATTTTTGGAGCTTTTACAGGGCCTTCAATGTGGCCTTTTCAGAGAATTTTTAGGATGTCCTTGAAGGTCGTTCGACATAGACTTCCCACAAAATCTGTTGCTGTTTCTGAGAACCTACAGTGTGGATTTGTACAGAATTTTTTAGGGTACCTTGAAGGTTCTTCAGCTTTTAAAGAATTTTTAATGTATCCTTACAGGACATTAAAAGTGAACTTTTTAAAAAAATGTGAGTGCTTCTTAAAGGGATTTTTAAAGAGTTTTTCGGATGTCCTTGGGAATTGTTGAATGCGAATTTCATAAAGATTTTTCAGCTTTTCCTGAGAGCTTATAATGTGGATTTTTTACATATTTTGAAGAATACCTTGGAGGCCCCAAATCGGGAAATTATTGGAGTGTTTTTAGGGTATCCTCTAAAGTCCTTAGACGAATACTTTATACATTTTTTGGGTCTCTGGATTCTTAAAGGTTCCGTTTAGTTTTCAAGGATTTTTGATGGGTCCTTTATGAAGATTTTTTTCTTTAATTCTCAAAGGTTCCTCAAGTGAATTTCTCAAATAGATTTTTTACAGCCCTAAATCGGAGAATTATTGAAGAGATTTAGGGTGTCCTTAAAGGTCCACAGGCGAACACTTTATAATTTTTTTCTTTTTTTGGGTCTCTAGATTCTTAAAGATATGTCCTCTTTTAAAGAAAAGGTCCCTCAAATTAATTTTTCAATTAGATTTTTTACTGAATTTGTAGAATACCTGAATGGGAGAATTACTGACGAGTATTAGGGTGTCCTATAAGGTCCTTAGGCGAACACTTTTTAATTTTATTTGGAATCTCTGGATTCTTAAAGAAATATTGGAGGTTCCGTTTAGTTTTAAAGGATTTGGAACGTGTCCTTTTTAAAGATTTTTTTGGGTTCTCAAAGGACCTTCAAGTAAAGTTTTCAAATATATTTTTTACAGAATTTGTAGAATACCTTAAAGGGCCTTAATCGGGAATTTATTAGGGTGTCCTTAAACGTCCTTAGACGAAAACTTTATATTATTTTTGGTGTATCTGGGTTTTAAGAGAAGTATTGCAGGTTCCGTTTAGTTTTAAAGGATTTGGAAGGTGTCTTTTTAAAGATTTTTTTTGGGGTTCTCAAAGGACCTTCAAGTGAATTTTTCAAAAAGATTTTTTACAGAATTTGTAGAATACCTTAACTGCCCTAAATCGGGGAATTATTGAAGAGTTTTAAGGATGTCCTTAAAGGTCCTTAGACGAACATTTTATAACTTTTTTAGGTTTCTGGATTCATAAAGTGATATTGGAGGTTCCGTTTAGTTTTCTAGGATTTTTAATGAGGTCCTTCAAGTGAATATTTAAAATAGTTTTTTTTACAGATTTTTCAGAATACCTTAAATGCCCTGAATCGGAGAATTATTGAAGAGTTTTAGGGTGTCCTTAAAGGTCCTTAGGCGAACATTTTATATTTTTTTGGGTCTCTAGATTTTTAAAGAAATATTGCAAATTCCGTTTAGATTTCAAGGGTTTTTAATGTGTCATTTTTTAAGATTTTTTTCTTGGTTCTCAAAGGACCTTCAAGTAAAGTTTTCAAATATATTTTTTACAGAATTTGTAGAATACCTTCAAGGGCCTTAATCGGGGAATTATTAAAAAGATTTAGGGTGTCCTTAAAGGTCCGAAGGCGAACACTTTATATTTTTTTTTTTGGGTCTCTAGATTCTTAAAGATATATTGGAGTTCCCGTTCAGTTTTCAAGGATTTTTAATGTGTCCTCTTTTAAAGAAAATTCTTTTGGGTTCTGAAAGGTCCCTCAAATTAATTTTTCAATTAGATTTTTTACAGATTTTGTAGAACACCTAAGGTCTTTAGGCCAACATTTTATAATTTTTTGAGTCTCTGGATTCTTACAGAAATATTGGAGGTTCCGTTTAGTTTTGAAGGATTTCTAGTTTGTCCTTTTAAATATTTTTTTTTTGTTCTCAAAGGTCCTTCAAGTGAAATTTTCAAATTTATTTTTTACAGAATTTGTGGAATACCTTAAAGGCCCTAAATCGGGGATTTATTAGGGTGTCCTTAAAGGTCCTTAGGCGAACACTTTATAAATTGTTTTGGGGTATCTGGATTTTTAGTGAAGTATTGCAGGTTCCGTTTAGTTGTAAAGGATTTTAAATGTGTCCTTTTTAATTTTTTTTTCAAAGGTCCTTCAAGTGCATTTTTCAAATTGAGTTTAGTGGGCCCTTCAAGGTCCTTCAACGTAAGTTTTTTATAATTTTTCAATGGCTCCTTAAGCGCCTAACAATTGATTGATTTTTCGAGAATTTTTCCATTACCCTTATATCCTTTTTTTTATAAAAATGATATCCTTTTCTTACAGAAAATGCCACTGGTGTGCCCAGCAACTCCTTGGATGACCAGCCATCAAACATGCATGCCGCCATTGCTGAGTAAGTTAAATATCCTTTGAAATAAGGATTTCTTTCGTTGTGTTTATTTTTCGTTATCCTTCAAATATTTCCTTTCATTTTTTTTCTTTCTTATCGGAAAATTCATTGATGCTGGTTGTTAATTTCTGTCTTTTGTCTGAACTACAGCCTGTGTGATGTCATACAGGAGCGTACCTTTAGCATTGTCAAGCGGTTCGACACCCTGTTCTATATGACACCCTACTATGGCAAGCAGCGTAGGGCCTTGAGGGCGCTGAAAACGGAAATGAATCGGGTGAGTAATGGGGGAAGGGGGGTCAAAATTTTGGTAGGGACAAATTTTTAGAAATTAAAAAAAATATAAATTTTTGGATTTTTTTTTTTTTTTTTTTGGAGAATGAAGTGTCCCTTTTTAAGTCCTTCAAGTCCTGTCCTGACCTACTATTTTTTCATTATCCTTTTTTCTCATCCTTCCCTTTGTTTGTTTTGTTTTCCTCTGCAGATTGTCGAACAACGGCGGGCCCAACTAAAGGCTGAGGGCAATGTCAAGCCTGCCGATAAGGACGAATTAAAACCATTTTTAAATGTCCTTCTGAATGCCAAATTGGATGGCAGAGAATTAAAATTCCGTGAAATATTTGAAGAGCTGTCCACATTCATATTTGCCGTAAGTAGTTTCGCATTTCATCTCTGGCATCCTGGCATTTCGTTTTACTTTTCTCATACGAACAGGGTCATGATCCTACCGCAGCTGCAATGTCATTCACCCTGTACACCCTCTCCCGCCATCCGGCCATACAGCAGAAAGTCTACGAGGAACAACAGAAAATTTTCGCCGGACAAAAGGGACAGGAATTCAAAGAGGCTGTGGCCAAAATTGAAGATCTGAATAAGATGTCGTATTTGGAAATGGTGTTGAGAGAGACATTGCGTTTGTATCCTTCGGTGCCATTGATTGCCAGAACCAATCGCAAGGCAATCGATATAAGTAAGTTGGGGCGGGATTTTTTCTTTGATGTGGTCCTGGAATAAGTTTTTGTTTTTTTTTTTTTGTTTAGATGGCACCAAGATTGCCCGCCGTACCACGGTGATCATGTGCCTCATTGCCATGGGCTATAATGAGAAATATTTTGATAACCCTTGTGAATTCCGCCCAGTACGTTTTGCCAATGCCAGCGATAGGGAAAATAAAGGTATTGAGGCCTTCAAGAGTGTACCCTTCAGTGCTGGACCCAGGAAGTGTATAGGTAAGCAGGAATACCCATTTGCAGGACTCTTTCACTGCAGGACTTTTGTAGTTAACCCAAATCCAAACGGAGGAGGTTAGGAGGAAGACCAAGAATTTACCACAAATTCTTGGTCTGCCTCCTAAATTTTTATTTTAACGTTCTTCCAATGCCTAGCACCAGGATGAAATAGTATCCAGGCAAGGATATAAATTTGTTCAGGACAGTTTTTAGTTAACCCAAATCCAAACGGAGGAGGTTAGGAGGAAGACCCAGAATTTACCACAATTTCTTGGTCTGCCTCCTAAATTTTTATTTTAATTTTCTTCCAATGCCTAGCAACAGGACGAAATAGTATCCAGGCATTCTTCACACTTCCCAGGACCTGTTCCAGGTTTTGGGAATTTTTTTGGGTACCTTATTTTTTTTCAATGTTCCTCCAATACTTAATCCTTATTTTTATCTCATTTCCCCTACTCACTCTCTCTCCCTCTTTTTCTCCCTCCCTCTTCCAGCCGAAAGATTTGCCACTTTGGAACTGAAATCCTTACTCTCTCAGGTGATCAGAAACTATGAAATCCTACCAGCCAAGGATGGCTTAACGGCTGGCATCAATGACCATTCCCGCAAGGGTTGTGTACCGGAGAGTGATTACGATCCCATATTGAATATTAGAGTTACTCTGAAATCTGAAAATGGCATTTTGGTGAGATTGAAAAAAAGGAATTAGAATCCAAAAAAAAAAAAAATGAAAAAAAAAATAAATTTAATTAAATTATATAAATTAAAATTAAAAAAAATTAATGAACAAATAAATTTAATTACAAAAATTAAACCAAAGGACTTTTTAATGAAAAAAATTAAAAATTTTGGATTTTTTCAAGGACTTCAAGGACATTCTTATAAGTGGATTGAAAAAAAACTCTTCAAGGACTTTCATGAGCCTTGACTTAAAAAATCACATTTCAAGAACTTTCATATATGTGGATGTTTTAAAAGAAAAATTTTCAAGGACATGGATTCCTAAAAAAAAATATTTTACAAGGACTTTCATAAAAATGTTTTTTTTTTTAAATAATTTTTTAGGGATTTTCAATAAAGGACCTTTATAAAAATGGGTTTTAAAACATATTTTTTCAAGGACGTTCATATATGTGGATTCTTACAAAAATTCTCTAAGGACATTCAGTTAAAGGCCCTTTTCCAACGTGGATTAAAAAAATTGTTTTTAAGAACTTTTTATGAATGTGAAAAAAAAATCCAGGGCTTTCATAAACGTAGATCAAAAATATATTTTTTAAGGACTTACATAAACATGGCTTTTTAAAAAATATTTTTCAAGGACTTTTAGTAAAAGGAATTTCATAAATGTGGATTGTTAAAAAAGTTTTTCATATATGTCGATTTTTTAAAAAAAAAAAGGACATGGCTTCCGAAAAAATATTTTCCAAGGATTTCCATAAAAAATATTTTCCAAGGATTTTCATGAAAATGGTAAAATTTCATTTTTTCAAGGACTTTCGGTTAAAGGCGTACATAAACGTGGATCTAAAAAAATGCAAGAACTTTCATAAACGTGGAATTAAAAAAAATCAAGAGCTTTCATAAACGTGGATTTAAAAAAATTCAAGAAATTTCATAAACGTGGATTTAAAAAAAAATTCAAGAAATTTCATTAACGTGGATTTAAAAAAAAATTTCAAAAACTTTCATGAACGTGGATTTAAAAAAAAATTCAAGAACGTGGAATTTTCAAAAAATACAAGAACGTGGAATTAAAAAAATCATAAACGTGGAATTAAAAAAAAAATTCAAGAACGTGGATTTAAAAAACGACTTTAATAAACGTGGAAAAAATATTTTTTCCGAGAGTTTTATGATAGTGATATAAAAAATTAAAAAAAAAAAACTCAGGGGCTTTCATAAATGTGGATTTAAAAAAAAATCAAGAACTTTCATAAACGTGGATTTAAAAAAATCAAAAACGTGAATTTAAAAAAAATCAAGAACTTTTATTAACGTGGATTTAAAAAAAAAAAATCAAGAACGTGGATTTAAAAAAATAGGACTTTAATAGACGTGAAAAAAATATTTTTTCCAAGAGCTTAATGAGAGTGATATAAAAAAATAAGTTCCAAAATATTTTTAAAAAATATTTTCAATAAAAATTGGCTTTTAAAAAATATTTTTTCAAGGAATTTGGGTTAAAAAAATTCAAGAGCTTTCATAAACGTGGATTTAACAAAATAATTCAAGAACTTTCATAAACGTGAATTAAAAAAAAATCAAAAACGTGAATTAAAAAAAAAATCAAGAACGTGGATTTAAAAAATAGGACTTTAATAAATGTGGAAAAAATATTTTTTCCAAGAGTTCAACAAAAGTGATATAAAAAAAATCCAAAATATTTAAAAAAAAATATTTTCCATAAAAATGGGCTTTTAAAAAATATTTTTTCAAGGACCTTCGGTTAAAGGGTCTTTGTAAACGTGCATTTTTATAAAAAATATTTTCCAAGGACTTTCATAAAAAATATTTTCCAAGGATTTTCTTGAAAATGGTAAAATTTCATTTTTTAAGGACTTTCATAAACGTTGATTTAAAAAAAAAATCAAGAACTTCAATAAACGTGGATTTAAAAAAAAATCAAAAATTTCAATTAACGTAGATTTAAAAAAAATCAAAAATTTCAATAAACGTAGATTAAAAAAAAAACAAAAATTTCAATAAACGTGGATTTAAAAAATAATCAAAAATTTCAATAAACGTTGATTTATAAAAAAAAATCAAGAACTTCAATAAACGTGGATTAAAAAAAAATCAAAAACTTCAATAAACATGGATTTAAAAAAATCAAAAATTACAATAAACGTTTGTTCAGGCAAACGGCTGAATTGCCTGGTAAAGCTTTGGAAGCAGCTACCGTGAGTGTGATGGTGGACAAACTTGCTCTCTGGAGCCCAAACAATATCCAAGACCAGTTTTTATCTAGATCGTTGTAACTGGCAGAAACGTAGAAAACGGTTGGAACCCAAATCCAGAGTAATGAAAAAAGCTTTTATACTTAGTTCTTTTAGAATTCTTTTTATTAGGATTGAACTGGATTTGGACTGTAAGGTTCAAGAGTCGAATTAGAATAGAATCCAAGATAATGCGGAAATTAGACTCCCAATATGGCCATTAGAGAAGGCCGATAAAAGAAAGTATGGAAATGGGAAAAGGAAAAACATAGCATATTTATCTTAACTTCGATAACAGTTCGAATGGATAGTACACTAACAATGGTGCTATTCATATTTAAGATACAATTTAAGAAAGTGAAAATGGTTTACGTTTTGACGTAAACATTCCGCCCCCCATGGCAAGGGGACATGACAATTATATAATCAATTCATTTAGGACTAAATTCATATGACTAAATGACTTAATGCATAACTTATTATATCATAATACAATATGTCTTTTCAAGTGATTTCAATTGGCATATTAGTATTTAAAAAAAAAGGTATCGTAAATTCAGAATAAAAGTGGTGGAAGAGAGTACAATTATTTGTATTAATTTGAAAATGTTCCATATAGCACTAATCCGAAAAGGGTATTTTGAGCTGTAGGAAGTCCATGGCGAATAAAGATGCCGTCGACTATAATTTTGGAATATATGTCAACCCCAATGACGATATCAACAGAAGCTGCCTTGTAGAATTTGCTATCTGCTAGGACGAAGTTTTTGAAACTGAGTTTTGAAGACTCGGGCAGCGATTGCTTAGGAGTTGTAATTCCAATCCTGTTCCTCATTCGCAATATAGCCTCTATTTTTGTCTTGGAATCGACGCAGGATGTCAAGGTGACGGGGCACATAACTTCATCTTCCAACTCGAGCGTAGACAACCCCAGCTTATCTACGAAGCGTTTTGAAATGCAGCTCATGGGGGCCGCGGAATCCAATAAACACCTTGCCAACTGTGTGCCATTTGCTCCGTTGATTTTGACGACTGCAGTAGGAAGAAGAGGGGTGGCATTCTGCCTAAGAAGTGCCGACAAAGAGGTAATACTGGATGTCGATGTTGACCTCGGTATTGAGCCGGTAGTGGCTGAAGAGTCCTTGGGGGTGGTGATATCAAGAGGGGTAACCGTCTTATTGGTCTTTTTTGTCGAGGATGATTTTGCCTTTTGTAACCTTGGGTGTTGATGTAACAAGGAGTGGTGCTTTTTGTGGCAATATCCACATCCTGTGGTGGTAAAACAGGTGCCCTGTGAATGGGTATGCGCCAGGCAGTTCATACAGTACCCATATTTCTTGACCGCATTTAACCTTTCGGCGGAGTTCATGGCACGAAATTTCCAGCACGATTTCAGAGGATGTTTTTTGCGGCACAACCTGCAGGCAAATTCCGAATAACGAGAAGACGAAGGACCCTTCATAGTAATATTGTAAATAGAGAACTGAAATAAAGGAACGAATTACAAAAAGAAAAATGGAATGGAAGTGAAATAGAAAATGGAAAAAATGATTTGTCTTAGGCTTTGTATGAGGATAAAGTCTAAGACTGGTTATCTGGTAAGATGACCAATTTTGTAATTGGCCGGGTGATTCTTCCCTTCTGAGTGAGAATGTCAGCAACGCGCACTTTCTGATCATTGCCATGATAGACACGAACCACTCTGCCCAAACGCCAACAGGTCGGAGGGAGATTTTCTTCCTGAATAACCACCAGCATATTTTCTTCGACATCGCGTTCTGGACTTTTCCATTTAGTCCTTTTATGAAGTTCCTTCAGATATTCAGTCTTCCACCTGCTACAAAAATGTTGATACATTGATCGGATTCGTTGCCAGCGATTTTGAATAGAAATGGATGACTGGGAAATTTCTGGTTCTAAGAGAGATAGTATAGGAGAACCGATTAAAAAGTGTCCAGGAGTCAATGCGGTGAAATCTGATGGGCTTTGAGAAGATGGGGATATTGGTCTAGAGTTTAGACACGCCTCAATTTTAGTCAGCAAGGTTTGAAATTCTTCGTATGTGTATTTTGTATTGCCAGCAATTTTGCGGAAATGTTGTTTGAAACTTTTTACGCCGGCTTCCCAGAGTCCACCCATATGAGGAGCTCCGGGAGGTATGAAATGCCATGTCAAATTTTGGTGGGCGTAATTGGACATTAGAGCTTGATTCGAGGTATCGATAAAATCCTTTGCGATCCTCTTGGAAGCTCCGACAAACGTAGTTCCGTTATCAGAGTGCAAATGGAGTGGACACCCACGACGGGAAACAAAACGGTTAAAAGCTGCCAGAAAATTGGATGTGGATAAGTCGGATGTTGCTTCAAGGTGAATTGCCTTTGTGGAAAAACAGACAAACACACACACATATCCTTTGGTAATCCGACAATATCTTCCAGTATAGCTCTTGATATCAAAAGGTCCTGCAAAATCCAAACCGGTATGTGTGAATGGTCGGGATATTTCACATCTTTCTGGAGGCAATGCAGCCATCAACTGCTTTTGGCATCTTTTCTTATATATGACACAGATCTTGCAATTTCGTATAATGGATTTTATAAGATTTTGAACCTTTGGTATCCAGTATTGTGTACGGACCAATCGGAGGACAAGTTGATTGCCCCCGTGTAGACTTATCAAATGGATATATTGGACTAATAGTTTGGAATATTGACAGTTGTATGGAACAATTATAGGATGTCTCTCGTTGTAGGATAACTCTGGACATACTTCAAGTCGACCGCAAATTCGCATTAGACCTTCGGAATCTAAGAAGGGATTCAAACTCAATAGTTTACTAGAAGAAGGAATCGGTCTTTGGATACTCAGCGCCATGTACTCATTTGGGTAAAATAGCCTTTGGTATATGGATATCAGCTTTGAGCGAACATGGATGATTTCTTGAGCTTCTATGACGTTACCATAACGTCTATTATTGGTCTTATATCGTGGATGAGTACCATTTATAAAACGATATACATACGCCATAATCCTTAGAGCTCTTGGGTAGGAAGAAAAATTCGTTAAGTAATCGTGGAAGTTTTCGAAATATGCAAAATGTGTCTTTACCGACTTCTTCTCTAATTCAGTTGGTTGGACATCTTGATTAGAGTAATTTTCCCAAGGAGTGTCAAATTCAGATAACCATGCAGGACCTCTCCACCAAAGATCATTTTGGATTAGATCCTGTGGATAGACACCTCTACTCGCGAGATCGGCGGGGTTGTCCTCTGAACTGACGTGGTGCCATTTTGGTGGATCGACAGTTTGGATGATTTTAGAAATTCGATTTGCTACAAAAGTATTCCAATGACATGGTTGTTTTGCTAACCATGAAATCACAATGGTGGAGTCCGTCCAGCAATGTAATGAGTGACGGTGAACGTCGAATTGAGGCACTAAATTGTCAATTAGCTCAGCAAGGAGAGTAGCTGCACATAATTCCAGTCTAGGAATAGATAGGGACTTAATCGGTGCTACTTTCGTTTTGGAAGCCACTAAGTGGGTGTACACAGTAGTTGGAGAAACAATTCGAATGTATAGTACTGCGGCATAAGCCCTTTCTGATGCATCCGAAAACCCGTGGAATTCAATTTCATGGTCTGGGACAAAGTTAAACCAACGTGGAACACGAATCTCATTGATGGAAGAAAATGAAGACTGAAATGCTTTCCATAAGTCAATTGATTCTGGTGATATCTCTTCATCCCAACCCACTTTATCTAGCCATATTTTTTGCATAATTATCTTGGCTAATACAATGACCGGCGAAATCCAGCCAGCAGGATCAAATAGTTTTGATATTTGGGAAAGAACCTCTCGTTTGGTATAAGTATGGGGAGAAAATGCAATGGAGGAGAAATAAAACTGATCAGAATACGCATTCCAACGAATGCCTAACATTTTAGCTGCACAATGTGCGTTAAAGTCTAAAAAGCCATCATTAAGAAGATCATCGGGTGACAAGTCCGAGAGAATTGTTGTTGAATTGGAGGTCCATTTTCGCATGTTGAATCCTGCGGACTTCAGAGATAGGATTAATTCACGTACGGTTGAAATTGCTGTGTGTATGTCATGTGCCCCTGCAAGGGCATCATCCACATACATGCAATTCTTCAAAACATGACTAGCTAATGGATATGAATCATGGACGTCATTGGCTAGTTGAATCATCGTACGTATCGCAAGATACGGTGCACAGTTAACACCAAAGGTTACAGTTTTCAACTCGTAATCCTTTATTGGTTCAGTTGGATTCTGGCGGAACAGGATTCTCTGAAAGTGGGTGTGAGAAGGAGACACAAGGATTTGGCGATACATTTTCTCTATATCACCACTGAAAACATAGCGATAAAAACGCCACTTAAGGATGAGAATAGTCAAGTCGTTCTGTAAGGCTGGACCAGTGTACAAAACGTCATTTAGACTTGTACCATTCGATGTTGCGTAAGAAGCATTGAAAACCACACGGACTTTAGTGGTAGAACTATCTGGCTTCACAACAGCATGATGCGGCAAATAGTAATGATCGGGAAATTCTGAGATTGTAGGAGGTAGAACAGGAATCATATGTCCTAGTTTGACGTACTCTTCAATATTAAGATCATATTCTCTTTTCAATTCTGGATTTTTTAGCAGACGACTTTCATTCCGAATATATTGGGCCATCGCACCTTTTCTCGACTGACCTAAGGTTAGTGAATCGGAATATTCGTCTTTAAACGGAAGCGAAACAGTATACCTTCCATTCCCATCTCTAGTTGTCGTTCTCTGATAAATTTCTTCACATTGTCTATCTGCTTTGGACATTACACGCTGTTGTGGAATATTCTCCACCTCCCAAAATTTCAGAAGACTTTTTTCTAAAGCAATTTCGCAGAAGTACGATACACATGTAGAGAAGGACTTTGGAGCTTTGGTTGGAATGGGGCCAGTGAGGATCCATCCGAATACGGTCTCCTGGGCGAATAAGGATCCGCAAATCGCTCGCTGGCACCCAGATAACATGACAGAAGGAAGTAAATCTGCGCCAATTAGGATATCAATCTTGGAGCTTCGGTAAAAATACGGGTCAGCTAAGTCTAACTTTGGTAGCGAATAGAGAATATCAGACCCTATTGTGCAGGTTGGAAGGTTATTAGAAAGATGAGGCACAATTAAGGCTGAAACATCGATCTCGAAAGCTTTATCCGCATAGGAGCCCAGGATAAAGCGACATTCTTTTTGAACAGCAGCTGAAACCGTGTTATTAAGGCCTGATATGATAGCGGATGTAGGTTTGGAAGGTAACCTGAGGGCATTGGCAAGGTTTTGAGATATAAAGGTACCTTCTGAACCTGAATCTATGAGGGCCCTCGCTATATAACCAACACCTGCATGAATAACTTTTACTACAGCGGTACCAAGCAAAACGCCGTTTGAATTAACCGCGAAACAATTTTGAATAACATCGGTTGAAGAGTTAGTGGACTGTATGGAGGAATTTGGAGAAGCTTGGAATGCAAATGTCCTAGGCGTTTGAAGTGGTGTATTGGAAGCTGAAGGAGAAGTACTAATGGGTATATTTTGTTGCTCAGCATCCTTATGGAGGAGAGTATTATGTCGTTTTTGACATTTGAAGCAAGAATTTTTGCTTTTACAATTTTTGACAGCATGGGAGCTGGAAAAACAATTTAGACAGAGATTGCTGGCCTTTATTTCCGCCAATCTCTGTGCGTAATTAAATGCTAGGAACCGAGGACATTTCCTTATTATGTGGAATTCATTGGAACACAATCGACATTTAGTTTTGTTGACGTTGGTTTGGTATGTCTGAAGCCTGTCCTTCTGATTCTTTGTATTTAAAGGTCTGGACTTATCCCCTTTGGACTTGGAATCAGAAGAACTTCTCGTTTCAGAGACAGCCTCCAATGTTCTATACCGGTTGGTAAGAAATATATCCAATTCAGACCATTTTGGAATGCTGGTTTTATCCGAGAGTGTTTGTTCCCATAAAGTTAAAGTAGAATCTGGAAGACAGTTGGAACAAATGAACACGAAAATCGGATTCCAGCTTTCAACGTCAACATCATAAAGCTTTAGAGTGGATATACAAGAATTGATATCTCTTTGAAGCTTCTTGATGGATATTGCAGTTTCTGTATGAATATTGACAAGTGAAAATAAATTCTTTAGTTGGCCATTAACCAGCACTCGTTTGTTCTCAAACCTGGAACATAGATTGTTCCACGCTAAGGTGAATCCGGAATTCGTCAAAGGACTTTTCCTAACAATGTCGTGTGCTTCACCTTTGGTCTTCTGACTTAGGTAGAACAATTTTTCTACTGGGCTTAATTTGGAATTGCGTATGCAAATGGCCGTAAACATGTCACGAAAGCTTGGCCAGGATTTGTAGTCCCCATGGAATGTGGATAACTCAATTGGAGGCAAGTTAAAAGAGTTACTGGACCGTAAACTTGGACTAGAAGAGGAAGGAGAGAGAGGTTCCAGAGCTTCATTGAGCTTTGAGATACAACGACAGTAAGTGGAGTAGGATTTTTTATATTTATCCTTTACTGTCGCTACCTCATTGGTTTCTCGATCATCAGACACCTCTTCATCTTCTTCTTCATTTTCCAAATCCGCCAGACATTGCTCATAAGCTTGTTTAAGATGTGACCATGTGGATTTCACCTCTTCAGTGTGGGTTTCCAGCAAACAACGAGTTGTTAGAGGAAACTCATTGGCAATAAGTGCCGCTTCAAATTCTACCAAGCTGTCAGCTAGGCGAATGAATTTGTCGAGTGACATGACTACAAGCAAGAAGTTTGGTGGATCAAAGGCAAGAAAATGAATGAATAAAGATTATTCAGATAAGTGGTTATATCGGAGTAGGCAACTAGGACTGGTGAAAGAAACAACAAGCTGAGTTCACCGTATGTTCCAAATTTGAAAATGATGCGCAAATTTGAAAATGATGCAAAAATAGCATAAAATGTCCTGGTATAAAGTACGGATACCAATTGAATGCTATTTTAGGAAAAACCAACTTGAAACGAACAGGAGATTGTTTTATGTATTATTATTAATTTCAAATTCCACTGGTGGAATATTTTTGTAATTTTATTGTATTTATTTTTTTTAATTACTTAATTATTTCCTTTAATTTGAGTTAAAGTTTTAATTATTACTATTTTTAATTCAAGTAGAAGTTTTTCTTTATTTTAGTATCAGTAGAATAGTATATTTCATTTCAATTAATTTTTTCCCAATAATTAACTAGTCTCTTGAGTTTAAAATTTCAATTAAATAATGTACTTGATTTTTTACTAATTATTAACTTTTTCTCAAATATCGATTAATTATTATTATTTTTTTTAACTTCAATTAAATAATTCTGAATTATTACAATTAATTTATTTAATTTTCAATATAAAGTGGAAATAACGACAAGTGTATAATTTTTTAATTATTGTGGAAAAGTGATATTTGGTACCACTGTGCGATGGTATCCAGATATAAATATTTTTATCTAATTGCTTCGAAATGTGCTTCAGATACATCACAAGCAAAAACACGACTTTGCCAAAGTAGAAAAGCAGCTGATCGTTCAAGAGTTCATTGAACTCAATGTAAGTGGAAAGAATTTGGAAGAATTGGAATAAATGGAATAATTTGGAATGATATGCTCCGCTCTGAGCAATCAATCCTCCGTTGGTATGTGTCGGACTCTCAAACAGCGAGAATGACACGTAAAAAATAAATAGAGAAAAGAACACAAATGTAACAACTGATTGAGTGGAGAACTCAAACTCTGCAGTAGTAGTTACACGGCAATGATACAACAACACGATTGAGTTGTAATCTCACCCACAATTGACTAGCGCATTCTCATTGGACATGCGCACTCAAAGCAGAGAATGTAAACATTGGTAGCAATTGGATGTATGTGGCTGAGGAAGAGAACGATGAGTTGAGCTTTAGTTTCAGCATGCACGAGAGAAGCGCATTCTCAGTGGACATGCGCATTCGAACAATAGAAAAGAAGAGAGTGATGCTGAAACTGAGTTAAGAGACGTGTGCAAGCTCTGATCACCACATACATGCACAAGAGTAGCATATGCTCACTCGGACCACAGAAGGCGAAGGTAAGCTGAAAAATAACTTAAGAGAACAAGGCAAGCTTGGATCTCAACATCCATACATAAGAGCATGTACTCAGTGGACATGCGCGCTGGGAAAGAGAATGGAATGGACAATGCAAGACGAGTGAACAACAGTATGGAAGAGATCGTGCATAGAGGTTGCTCACTTCACATGTGTATTATGAGTGTCTGAATGATAAATAAAGTCGTGTTCTCCGAGAACTGAGACACATCTTCCAATAGATTTACCATGTAAACATAAACTGCATTTGATACAACAGAAAGACGTTCTGATAACAAATAGCTAACAGTGCTGCTGTTGTAGATAAATGTTATGCCTCTGTTATTAACATAGTTCTACAGAACACGTTTTTTTATTTCAACAGCCTTATATATGTTACATTAAAGTGCAAAATTTTCTGTGTTCAAACAAATTTCCTCACTTATTTTGAATCTTTTTTCACACTATTTTTTCCTTGAACTTTCACGTGAGATTTCCTTTTTACAGATTCATTGAGTTAGAAAATTTTTTAAAAGGATCTTTTTAAGAAATTATTATTTTTTTAACTCACGCACAATCCTCTGCTTGGCTTAAGACAGGTAGCATATGCTGGAATCCGAAATCCTCTTATAATTCCTCTTGGTAATTCCACAATTGCCAATTGTATTCCTCCTTATTGATATTACCTTCTGAGCTAAGATAGTTGGGAAGATAGCCAGGTCTCCAAATATAGTTTTATATTCAAATTGTAGTATTTGTTTTAATTATGTATATTTTGATGATGTGAAAAAACCGAACTTTGTAATTTGTGCGAGATTAAATGCGATCTTCGACTTCTTTTTTTGTACTGATGATACGAAATAAACTAACAAGAAACATACCTCTAGGTATCAAAAGCTTCTGCAGCTGAAATCTCCGGAGAGCAGCTTGTCGATCCGGTTCGACGTGGACCAAAATGTTCAGGCAAACGGCTGAATTGCCTGGTAAAGCTTTGGAAGCAGCTACCGTGAGTGTGATGGTGGACAAACTTGCTCTCTGGAGCCCAAACAATATCCAAGACCAGTTTTTATCTAGATCGTTGTAACTGGCAGAAACGTAGAAAACGGTTGGAACCCAAATCCAGAGTAATGAAAAAAGCTTTTATACTTAGTTCTTTTAGAATTCTTTTTATTAGGATTGAACTGGATTTGGACTGTAAGGTTCAAGAGTCGAATTAGAATAGAATCCAAGATAATGCGGAAATTAGACTCCCAATATGGCCATTAGAGAAGGCCGATAAAAGAAAGTATGGAAATGGGAAAAGGAAAAACATAGCATATTTATCTTAACTTCGATAACAGTTCGAATGGATAGTACACTAACAATGGTGCTATTCATATTTAAGATACAATTTAAGAAAGTGAAAATGGTTTACGTTTTGACGTAAACAACGTTGATTTAAAAAAATCAAGAAATTCAATTTAAAATATAGGACTTTAATAGTTTAATGAGAGTTTAATGAGAGTGATATAAAAAAAATAAATTTCAAAATATTTTTAAAAAATATTTTCAATAAAAATTGGCTTTTAAAAAATATATTTTCAAGGACTTTCTGTTAGAGGCCCTTTATATATGTGTATATTTAAAAAAAAAATCGAGGACTTTCATTAAAACGATTTTCATAAATGTTGATTGTTAAAAAGTTTTTCATATATGTGGAGTGTTTAAAAGAAAAAGGACATGGCTTCTTAAAAAATATTTTCCAAGCACTTTCATAAAAAAATTTCATAAAAATATTTTCCAAGGATTTTCATGAAAATGGTAAAACTTCACTTTTTAAAGGACTTTCGGTTTAAGGCAGTTCATAAAGGTGGATTAAAAAAAATAGAAGAAATGTCATTAACGTGGATTTAAAAAAAAATTCAAGAACGTGGATTTAAAAAAATAGGACTTTAATAGACATGGAAAAAAATTTTTCCAAGAGTTTTATGAGAGTGATATAAAAAAGAATAAATTCAAAAATATTTAAAAAAAAAAAATATTTCCCATAAAAAAGGGTTTTCAAAAAAATATTTTTTAAGGCCTTCGGTTAAAGACCCTTTATAAACGTGTATTTTTTTTTTAAATATTTTTTCTAGGAATTTCATAAACGTGGATTTAAAAAAAAAACAATTTTTTTCTAAAACTTTAGTTAACATGGATTCCTAAAAAATAATTTCCAAGGACTTTCATGAAATGGATTTAAAAAAAATATTTTTTTAAGACTATGAATAATGAAAATGGATTAAAAAAAATATTTTTTCAAGGACCTTCGTTAAAGGCCTTTCATAAACGTGGATTTAAAAAAAATGTATGTTTACAAGAACTTTCATAAACGCTGGTTTTTTCAAGGACTTACATGTATTCCTAAAAAAATTCCAAAGATTTTCATAAAAATAAATTTTTTCAAGGACTTTCGGTTAAAGGCTCTTTGTAAACGTGTATATTTAAAAAAAATATTATTTCAAGGACTTTCATAAACGTGGATTAAAAAAAAACATTTTTTCTGGGACTTTAGTTAACTTGGATTCCTATAAAATATTTTCCAAGGACTTTAAAAAAAATGGATGTTTAAAAAATAATTTCCAATGACTTTCATAAAAATGGATTTTAAAAAATATATTTTTTCAGGTCCTTGGACTTTCATAAAAATATTTTAATTTTTATATTAGTTTAAAAAGATATTTTTTTTAGGAATCCATGTAAATGAAAGTCCTTGAAAAAAAATTGTTTTTTAAAAACTTTTATAAACACTGGTTTAAAAAACATTTTTTTCAAGGACTTCCACTTACATGAATTCCAAACAAAAAAAAAACTCCAAAGATTTTTATAAAAATAAATTTTTTCAAGGACTTTCGATTAAAGGCTCTTTGTAAACATGTATATTTAAAAAAAAATATTTTTTCAAGGACTTTCATAAACGTGGATTAAAAAAAAACACATTTTTTCTAGAACTTTAGTTAACATGGATTCCTAAAAAATATTTTCCAAGGACTTTAAAAAATATTTTCCAAGGACTTTCATAAAAATGGATTTTAAAAAATATATTTTTTCAAAGACTTTCATAAAAATGGATTTAAACAAAATATTTTTTTAAGGACTTTTGGTTAAAGGCCTTTCATAAACTTGGATTATTTAAAAAATAGTTTTTTCAAGAACTATCATAAACGCTGGTTTAAAAAAAAAAACATTTTTTTAAGGATTTCCATTTACATGGATTCCAAAAAAAATATTTAAAAAGTTTCATAAAATACATTTTTTAAGGACTTTCGGTTAAAGGCCTTTCATAAACGTGGATTTAAAATATATATATATTTTCAAGAACTGTCATAAACGTGGACCTAAAAAATGATTTTTTTTTAGGACTTTCATAGACGTGGAAGAAATATTTTTTTCAGGAATTAAATGAGCTTGAATTTTTAAAAAATTGTTTCAAAAGGATTTTTTTGCAAGGATCTTTTCTCAAAGGACCCTCAACCATATCTGCGTGGATTTCTACAAGGATATTTCCTACAGTATTCTTCTTATGCTATATTTTATAAGCCAATTGATATATTTTTATGGAAGGCAATAAAATATCTTTTCAAGGACTTTCATTCCCAATGGAATCTTAAAAATATATATTCCAAGGATTTTCGTGAAAGTGGGTCTTAAAAATATTTTTTTTAGATTTTTAGTTTAAGCTCTTTCATTATGGATGTTTTTCTAAGAATCAACGTGAATAAAAATCTATTTTCCAGGACTTTCAAAAAAAAAAAAATTCAAAATGGACTTAAACATTTTTTTTCAGGAATTTTAGTGAAAAGGCTCATAAACATGGACTTAAAAAAAGTTTTTTCAGGAATTTTAGTGAATAGGCTTTTATAAAGGTGAATGTAAAAAAAATATATTTTTTCAAGGACAGTTTTTTCAGGAATTTTAGTGAAAGGGCCCATAAAAATTGACTTAAAATTTTTTTTCAGGAATTTTAGGCAATGGGCTTTAATAAAGGTGAATTTAAAAAAATACATATTTTTCAAGGACTTTTATGAAAATACATTTTCCAGGACTTTTACAGATTTGTTCGTAGACTAAAATATATATATATATATATATATATATATATATATATATATATATATATATATATATATATATATATATATATATATATATATATATATATATATATATATATTTTTTTTTTTTTTTTAAATTTTAATGAGCGCAGATTTTAAAAAAAAAAATATATATATATATAGGACATTCGGCTCAATAAACGTGTATTTTAAAAGTAATACTTTCTATTTTTACAAGTATATTTTCTCAAAGGACTATCCATTAGCGCCGATTTCTACAAGGATATTTTCTCCAGAACACTTCTTGTGCCATTTTTTCACCCCACCCTAATATAAAATGCCATATTATTTTCCATCACATCGTTTAAATAAACTAATTGACATATTTTCCAAGGAAAGCATCGTTTTCCTTAACTAGTTTGCTAAAAATTTCCTCATGTTTATTCGTTGAAATTCACTCCTTTTATACCCTGGTAAATATGACAGAACTTTATTCAACATTTTGAAAATTTCATGCTCACTCATATGTGTGAGTGAACACGCACACAAAGTAGACACACACTTGTATGTCACATCATATTTGTATATTTAATAAACAAGTTCCTTAAGAATCTTGTCATAATAATTTGTTGCAGGAGGGAGGAGAGCGGAACTTTTCGAATGTCAGGCGAAGAGATATGCAGCTAATTATAAGTTAGAATTGAATTAAATATTCAAGGGAGTGTAAGAGTCAGATAGAATCAGTGAAAGAGGGGGTAAATGGAGGAACGTAAATTTCAAAACTTCTACAAAAAATGGAAGGCATATTAAGGGTTTTATGTAGATTGAAGATATTTTAAAGGTCCCCCTTAGGGGTCTTTTTTAGATAGAATTGCTTTAGATGTCTTCCATGCTAAAAAAAATCACTTCCTAGAAGTCTTCTATAAACTAGAGGCCTCTAATAGGTCTTATATTAAGAGAAGATATTTTTAAAGGGAATCCATAGACTGAAGACTTTTTAAGTTCTTTTAGAGTCAGCGTTTGAAAAAAAAACTCGAAGAAATATTTAAAGAAAACAAATATTAAGTTTTGGTTCTGGAAAACAATTAAAATTTATTTCCAGAACCTGGAATAAAATTAAAATTAAAAAATATTTTTAAGAATCCACGTTTCCTGGAAAAAATATTTTTAAAAAATCCACGTTTAGTTTTGGTCGTGGAAAAAATATTTTTAAAATAATCCACGTTTAGTTTTGGTCATGGAAAAAATATTTTTAAAAAATCCACGTTTAGTTTTGGTCATGGAAAAAATATTTTTAAAAAATCCACGTATAGTTTTGATTCTTGAAAAAATATTTTTAAAAAATCCACGTTTAGTTTTTTTCCTGGAAAAATATTTTTAAAAAATCCACGTTTAGTTTTGGTGCTGAAAAAATATTTTTAAAAAATCCACGTTTCGTTTTGATTCTTGAAAAAATATTTTTAAAAAATCCACGTTTAGTTTTCGTCCAGGAAAAAATATTTTTTAAAAATCAACCCTTAGTCTTGGTCCTGGAAGAAATATTTTTAGAAAATCCACGTTTAGTTTTGGTCCTGGAAAAAATATTTTAAAAAAATCCACGTTTAGTATTGGTCCTGGAAAAAATAATTAAAAAAATCTACGTTTTGTTTTTGTGCTTTTAAATAAATTTAAAAAAAATCCACGTGTAAAGTAGATCCCCAAAAAAATATTTCTAAAAAATCCACGTTTAGTTGTGGTCCTGGAAAAAATATTTTAAAAAAATCCATGTTTAGTTTTGGTCCTGGAAAAATATTTTTAAAAAACCCAAGTTTAGTTTTGGTGCTGGAAAAAATATTTTTAAAATTAAAAATATATTCCTGAATATAAAAAAAATTTTCCTTAAAAATATGAATTTATAAGGCCGAATTTCCTTGAAAAAAAATTAAAAAAATTGATACTCCTTTGAGAACATATCCTTTAAAAATCCTTATTATTTCTTGGACTCACACACCCTTGAAAAAATATTTTTAAAAAATTTCCATTTTTTTGGGTTTCAAAATTCCTTAAAAAATATGAATTTATAAGGACGAATTTCCTTGGAAAAAAAATTTAAAAAAATTGATACTCCTTTGAGAACATATCCTTTAAAAATCCCTATTTCTTCGATCCAATATTTTTAAAAATTCCCATTTTTTGGTTTTTCAAAATTCCTTAAAAATTACCTCCACGTTGAGGCCCAAATACGCTCAACACGTTCAATATTTTCTTTGTTCATAAAACTATTGAAATTTTTTTATATTTATAGTAAAAACAAGTATCAAATTCGATTTTTATGCTTGCTATAATTATGGCTTAAAAATTATAGTAAATCAAAATAGAGTGATAAATTTGCGAACTAATTGGACAATGTTGGCCGAATTAATCAGGGGAAATGAAAGTTGGATAATGGCAATTAGATTTCAACAAGTTTTAAAATTTTTATTTTTTTCAAATATTTTTGAAATAAAAAAAATGGATATTTATTTTTGAGTTAAAGAGAATGCATATTTCATAACATCAAAGCCAATACAGCGTGGGTTGATTCGCAAATAAATTTAATCGCATTCTTTTTTTTTCTCCAAAGATTGCAATAATAAATTATCCTCACCACCATTCCCGAAAGAAATTTCTTTCATGAAATGGAAAAAACAAAAAAACATGCATTCCCAGAAACAGTGGGACCCCTCCACAAAGGAAGGGCTTCTAGAAATTGATTTAATATTTTTATTTTAATGGGAAAATAGATTAAATTCTAGTCTCTTTTTTATTTTTTTTTTTTAATATTTATTTTTTTTTGTTTTTTTTTTTTTTTTTTTTGAGAAGTTTTTTTTTATTTTTTACTAAGTCCCACTGTCCCCATAGTGAGACACTTGCCTTCAATATTCTTATTTGGAAATGTCAAAATACTAAAATTATTATCTAAATTTGGTGATCACAACATGACGAAATGCATGCTTGAATGGTCGGATGGTTGGATGGATGGACGGATGTATGGATGGGAGATGATACCATAAAATAGTCAAACCAATCTCAGAAATTGGCAAAGCCGTTGGCAAACAAAATCATATAAAAACTTGGTGAATTCTTGGCAGCATCATCAGTTTTCGAATTCAAAGCTAAATCCCAACAGTATTTCCAGCCAAAATATGTTCAAATTTGTAAGTATTTCGTAGAAGAAGCTCAGGATTTACCCGCAACTCTTGGATTACCTGAAAAAATTCCCCCTCTCTCTCCCCAGATTGTCCTTTGTGCCTTGATAGCCACGGCTGTGGCCCTACCCAAATATGGCGGCAAAAATACCTACAAAGCTGCCTATGGTTCCCATGCCCCGGCCAGTAGTGGTGGCCACCATGCCAGCGGTGATGAAGTCCATGCCGAGACAACAAACTTTGCTGCCGATGTCAATGAACATGGTTTCCAATATGCCTATGACACCACCAATGATATCCATGCCGCCGCTTCCGGAGATGAAAACGGCGATCACAAGGGTGACTTCTCTTGGGTATCGCCCGAAGGTGAACACATCGCTGTGCAATATGTGGCCGATGAAAATGGTTATCAACCCAACAGTGCCTTGCTGCCAACACCACCACCCATTCCAGAGGCCATCTTGAAGGCTTTGGAATACATTCGTACCCATCCTCCCAAGGAGGTGGATCATGAACACAGTGCCGCAGCTTCGTATCGCAGCAATACCTTTAGCCGCAGCAACAGCAACAACCGGGGAAATAGCAACAAACAATTTGGCAGACATTTCTAAATAAAAGGGGAATGTCATGGGTTAAGAGTCCTTTCAGGGAGTACTAAAAGGATAGCTTAATCTGAAAATAAAGTGGTAGTATGGAATAAAAAAGAGAAAAAGAAAATGTGGGTTTTATTTTTTTGTTTCGAGAAGAAAATTTACTCGAAGGGGATCTCAAGGAGATTCATCAAAGGACTTCTTTTCATAGAAAAATTTTAAGATGTAATTCTCTCCAAAGAAGACATAAAAGAGGTATTTTTCACTATTTTCCTACAGAGAGGCTGAAAAAGTGTATCTCTCTGTTGAAGTAAGACACCTTCTCTTCACAAAAAATTGATGTTTGAAAAAATATTTTTAAAAAATCCACGTTTAGTTTTGGTCCTGGAAAAAATATTTTTAAAAAATCCACGTTTAGTTTTGGTGCTGAAAAAAACAAACATTTTTTAAAATATCCACGTTTAGTTTTGGTCCTGGAAAAAATATTTTTAAAAAATCCACGTTTCGTTTTGGTCCTGAAAAAAATATTTTTTAAAAATCCACATTTAGTTTTGGTCCTGAAAAAAATATTTTAAAAAATCCACTTTTAGTTAAGGTCCTGGAAAAAATATTTTTAAAAAATCCACGTTTAGTTTTGATGCTTAAAAAATATTTTTAAAAAATCCACGTTTAGTTTTGATGCTTAAAAAATATTTTTAAAAAATCCACGTTTAGTTTTGATGCTTAAAAAAATATTTTTAAAAAATCCACGTTTAGTTTTGGTCCTGGAAAAAATATTTTTAAAAAATCCAAGTTTAGTTTTGGTCCTGAAAAAAATATTTTTAAAAAATCCACGTTTAGTTTTGGTGCTGGAAAAAAATATTTTTAAAAAATTCCGTTTAATTTTGGTCCTGGAATTTTTTTTTTTTTTTTTAAATACACTTTAGTTTTGGTCCTAAAAAAAATATTTTTTAAAAATCCACATTTAGTTTTGGTCCTGAAAAAAATATTTTTAAAAATTCCACGTTTAGTTTTGGTCCTGGAAAAAATATTTTTAAAAAATCCACGTTTAGTTTTGGTCCTGGAAGAAATATTTTTAAAAAAATCCAAGTTTAGTTGTGTTGCTTGAAAAAATATTTTTGAAAAATCCACGTTTAGTTTTGGTAGTGGAAAAAATAATTTAAAAAAAAGCACGTTTAGTTTTGGTGCTTAAAAAAATATTTTCAAGAATCCACGCTTAGTTTTGGTCCTGGAAAAAATATTTTTAAGAATCCACGCTTAGTTTTGGTTCTGGAAAAAATATTTTTAAAAAATCCACGTTTAGTTTTGGTCCTGAAAAAATATTTTTAAAAAATCCACGTTTAGCTTTGATCCTGGAAAAAATAGTTTTTAAAAATCCACGTTTAGTTTTGGTTCTGAAAAAAATATTTTTAAAAAATCCACGTTTAGTTTTGATGCTTGAAAAAATATTTTTTAAAAATCCACGTTTAGTTTTGGTCCTGGAAAAAATATTTTTAAAAAATCCACGTTTAGTTTTGGTCCTGGAAAAAATATTTCTAAACAAATCCACGTTTAGTTTTTATGCTTGAAAAAATATTTTTAAAAAATCCACGTTTAGTTTTGATGCTTGAAAAAATATTTTTAAAAAATCCACGTTTAATTTTGGTCCTGGAAAAAATATTTTTAAAAAATCCACGTTTGGCTTTGGTCCTGGAAAAAATATTTTTAAAAAATCCCCGTTTAGTTTTGGTCCTGAAAAAAATATTTAAAAAAAAATCCATATTTAGTTTGGTCCTGAAAAAAATATTTTTAAAAGATCCACGTTTAGTTTTGGTCCTGGAAAAAATATTTTTAAAAAAATCCACGTTTAGTTTTGGTCCTGGAAAAAATATTTTTTTAAAAATCCCCGTTTAGTTTTGGTCCTGGAAAAAATATTTTTAAGAAATTCACGTTTAGTTGTCGTATTAGAAAAAATGTTTTTTAAATATTCACGTTTAGCTTTGGTTCTGGAAAAAATATTTCTAAAAAATCCACGTTTAGCTTTGGTTCTGGAAAAAATATTTTTAAAAAATCCACGTTTAGTTTTGGTCCTGGAAAAAATATTTTTAAACAATCCACGTTTAGAATTGGTCCTCTACAGAACACCTGCAAGATATTAAGATTCCTCGGAATCCATTGATTTTAGGTATACAGTGTCTCTGGTAATATTATAGTTAACAATATCAGGATTATTTCGGTTCACCATTTTAACCCTCAAGCGTGTCAAAAATAGGGTCTTTTTGGTCCTTTTTTGAAAATATGGTAAAAAAAATCCCTTTAAATGGGATCGAAGCAAATCAAAATATTCCACAAAAATGGTTTGTTATAAAATTCTGCTCTGGGTCCCAGAAGACATCAAAAGTCTAAATCTTCGCTAAACGGTAGGATTTAAAAAAAAAATATTAAAAATACATTTCGAAATTAAAGCCGATCTTCTATGTTGTCTTTGCTTAATGGCCTAGCAGCTGATATTATCCATCAATTATCGTCCAAAATCTGATGCAGCGAGAAACATAAAACCGTCCCGCTGCCATAGCACATCACACACACGCATCAGATATCCATCAACATGAGCAGAGCCAATGATGCTTAATGTTATTGTTGTTGTATTTACCAGCAAGCGTTTGACAAGCTTCATAAATATTTCGCCTATTAACAATAGCATCAAACCTAGTTCAGTGGTTTTAGTAGCATCCGCCCAAATAAAAAAGAAAAATAAAAACAACAACAAAAAATCTGCATGTTGCCAACTTAGCTGATGGCAATGAATTCGAAGCGGCTTTTGGCAACCCGGTTAAGTAGCTTCTAGTCGTTGGCAAGAGCATAAAAGCATTTCTATGCTAAAACTGCACATTGGAAGCATATAAAAACTCTGACGGTAATTCGGAACAGCATCAGTTCATAACTACCAAAACTCGAAGATCGAAGATCAAAAATGTTCAAATTTGTAAGTTTTAGAAAATTTAAAAAAAATAAAAAAAAAATTAAGAAATAAAAAATAAATAAATCAATATCTAATAAAATTCCTTCCCCCCCGAGGTTGTTCTCTGCGCCCTGATTGCCACTGCCGCTGCAGTCTCGAAACATGGTGGCAACACCAAATTCCATGGTGCCAGCAGCTCCAATTCCAAGCATTACTCCGCCCCCGGTGGTCGCACCAGTGATGATGCCAATGCCGAAGTAACCCGTTTCACAGCCGATGTCCATGAACATGGTTTCCAATATGCCTTCGACACCACCAATGCCATTCATGCTGCCGCCACGGGTGGTGCCGAGGGTGATCACCAGGGTGACTTTGCCTGGATCTCTCCCGAGGGTGAACACGTTGCGGTGCAATATGTGGCCGATGAGAATGGTTATCAACCCGACAGTGCCTTGTTGCCCACTCCCCCACCAATTCCAGATGCCATCTTGAAGGCTTTGGAATACATTCGCACTCATCCTCAGCAAGAGGAAAAATCGACTTTCAAAGCAGCTCCTGCCAGGAGAGGTTAGGCGATAGAGGGAGGAGATTTAGTTGTAAGAAAAAAAAATATTTAATAAAGACCGATTGATCTGTTGATTTAAAAATTTACAGTATTCTGAATTTGAAAAGGGGGATGGAGCTTTTTAAGGTCTTTCATAGGTGGAGAAGCTTTTAAAGGCTTTCTGTTGATTGTATGCTTTTTAAGGTCTTCCTTTTGATTAAGGATTTGCTTCAATTCAAAAAAAAAAAAAAAAAACACAGAAGAGCTTTTGAGAGAAATTCCAAAGCTTTTAAATGTCTACTATGTATAAAATAGCTTTTTGGGAGGATTTTCTATAAACAGAAAAGCCCTTAGGAGACTGCCATTCAAGAAAGCTTCTAAAATTCATTTCTGCCGGCTTTTGAGAAGACTTTTTGAGAATGGAAAATTACATGATGTTCTTACATTTTCTATTTTAAGAACCTTCAAAGCACACAAAAGCTTTCAAAAGTCTTGTGAGGATAAGTAAGCCTTTAAAATGCTTCTACTGATAAAAAAGTTTTTAAAATTTTAAATTTCAGAAAAGCTTTTTATAGAAATTCTAAAGCTTTTAAATGTCGGCTATCTATAGAAGAGCTTTTTGGGAACATTTATGGATAGAAGAGCTTTTGAGGGTCTTCTATAAGCAGAGTAACTTTTGGAGGAATTCGAAAGCTTTCAAATGTATACTTTTTATAAAAGAGCTTTTGGAGATAATTTATGTTTAGAAGAGCTATTAAGGGTATTCCGGGCAAGAAAGCTTCTAAAATTCTTCTATACAGAGACCAGCTTTTAAAAGCTTTTTGAGAATGGGCAATTATATGATGTTCTTAGTTGAATAAGAGACGTTTCAAAGGTCTCCTAAGCTCACAAAAGCTTTCAAAAGTCTTGTGCAGATAGAAGAGCTTTTTAACTTTTTATTTAGATAGAAAAGCTTTTAACATTTTTCTATATAAAAAGAGTTAGAGCTTTTGAAGACCTTCTAAATACAAAACGAGCTTTTATGGTCTTCCGAAGATAAAAGAGCCTTTCAAGGTCATCAATAGATAAAAACATGTCTTCAATTAATAGAAGACTTTTTGAGGCCTACTGTGGACCGAAGAGCTTTTAAAGACCTTCTCTATGTAGCTGTGAAAGGCATTCAAAAGTCAATCTTACAATGAAATACATTTTACAGAACTTCTATAATTAAATGACCTTCGAAAGCTCGTTTATCTTTAGAGGACCTAAAGTCGCGCTTCTATCTTCGAAAGACCTTCAACAGCTTTATATATATATATATACACACAGAAGAGCTTTTAATATATACAGAAGAGCTTTTAATATAGATATCAGTGGAAGAAATTCAAGAGACAATCTTACGATGAAGCACTTTCAAAAAAATTAAAAAAAAAGTTCTTTTATCTATTGAAGACTGTAAAACGAGCTTTTATCTTCAGAAGATCTTCAAAATCTCTTTCATCTATAAAAAAATGCTTTTAAAATCTCTTTTTGGTATAAAGAAGAATTGTAGAAGCTCTTCTATATGTACAAGACTTTTGGAAGCTTATCTATCTGTGTTAAGAAGACATTATTTAAAGGAAGAACTTCATATGCTCTTCTATCCATGAAAATCCTTTAAAAGCTATTCTCTGTATAGAAGACCTTAAGAAGCTAAAATAACTTGTGTGTAATGGATACCCTTAAATAGATCGTTTATTGCCTTTAGACCCGTTAAAGGCTCCTACATGGTTGGGAGACTTTAAAAAGCTCCTGCACATTTTTTAAAAACATTTTTTTCCAGGACCAAAACTAAACGTGGATTTTTTAAAAATATTTTTTTGACCAGGACCAAAACCAAACGTGGACTTTTTAAATATTTTTTTTTCCAGGACCAAGACTAAACGTGGATTTTTTTCAAATATTTTTTCTAGGACCAAACCCGGATTTTTTAAACAAAAATTTTTCCAGGACCAAAACTAAACGTGGATTTTTTAAAAATATTTTTTTTTTCAGGAACAAAACCAAACGTGGATTTTTTAAAAATATTTTTTTCCAGGACCAAAGCTAAACGTGTATTTTTTAAAAATATTTTTTCCAGGACCAAAACTAAACGTGGATTTTTTAAAAATGTTTTTTCCAGGACCAAAACTAAACGTGGATTTTTTAAAAATATTTTTTCCAGGACCAAAACTAAAGGAGGATTTTTTAAAAATATTTTTTTCCAGGACCAAAACTAAACGTGGATTTTTTAAAAATTATTTTTTTCAGGACCAAAACTAAACGTGGATTTTTTAAAAATATTTTTTTCCAGGACCAAAGCTAAACGTGGATTTTTTAAAAATATTTTTTTCCAGGACCAAAACTAAACGTCAATTATTTAAAAATATTTTTTTCCAGGACCAAAACTAAACGTCAATTATTTAAAAATATTTTTTCTAGGACCAAAACTAAACGTCGATTTTTTAAAAATATTTTTTCCAGGACCAAAACTAAACGTCGATTTTTTAAAAATATTTTTTCCAGGACCAAAACTAAACGTGGATTTTTCTCTCTCTCTCTCTCTCTCTCTCTCTCATTTGACCTAAAGAAGGTCCTTAACAAAGGAAGGACCTTAAAATCGATTATATATCCAGAAAGCTTTTGAAAGCTTTTCTATCTATAGATGACCTAAAAGCTCTATACCCTTTACTAACTTTGAAAAAAACGTGTTGTTAAATCAACAGATCATTCGGTCTTTATTAAATATTTTTTTTTTCTTAAAACTACATTGCCCCTCTATCGCTTAACCTCTCCTGGCAGGAGCTGCTTTGAAAGTCTGTTTTTCCTCTTGCTGAGGATGGGTGCGAATATATTCCAAAGCCTTCAAGATGGCATCTGGAATTGGTGGGGGAGTGGGCAACAAGGCGCTGTCGGGTTGATAACCATTCTCATCGGCCACGTATTGCACCGCAACGTGTTCACCCTCAGGAGAGATCCAGGCAAAGTCACCCTGGTGATCACCATCGGCACCACCCGTGGCGGCAGCATGAATGGCATTGGTGGTGTCGAAGGCATATTGGAAACCATGTTCATGGACATCGGCTGTGAAACGGGTTACTTCGGCATTGGCATCATCACTGGTGCGACCACCGGGGGCGGAGTAATGTTTGGAGTTGGAACTGCTGGCACCATGGAATTTGCTGTTGCCACCATGTTTCGAGACTGCAGCGGCAGTGGCAATCAGGGCGCAGAGTACAACCTGGGGGGAAAAGGATTTTATTAGATTTTGATTTATTTATTTTTTAATTTTTTTTTTTGAATTTTCTAAAACTTACAAATTTGAACATTTTTGATCTTTAATCCGTCAGGCTTCACAGTTTTGAACTGATGCTGTTCCGAATTACCGGCCGAGTTTTTATATGCCTTCAATGTGCAGTTTTAGCATAGAAATGCTTTTATGCTCTTGCCAACGACTAGAAGCTACTTAACCGGGTTGCCAAAAGCTACTTTGATTTCATTGCCATCAGCTAAGTTGGCAACATGCTGCTTTTTCGTTGTTGTTTTTATTTTTCTTTTCTATTTGGGCGGATGCTACTAAAACCACTGAACTAGGTTTGATGCTATTGTTAATAGGCAAAATATTTATGAAGCTTGTCAAACGCTTGCTAGCAAATACAACAACGATAACATCAAGCATCATTGGCTCTGCTCATGTTGATGGATATCTGATGCGTGTGCGTGATGTGCTATGGCAGCGGGACGGTGTTATGTTTCTCGCTGCATCAAATTATGGGCGATAATTGATGAAATTGATAAAATCATCTGCTAGGGCATGAAGAGGATGGAGGGTGTATTAAAGCCTTGGGCACGCCAAGATTTTGGCCGCAGACCTTGGACATTCCAACAAGACTCAGCACCATCGCACTCAGCACCCACCCACTCAAGAATGGTTACAAAATAAGGTTCCTCGCTTTATTTCCAGCGCAAAATGGCCACCAAAATTTGCAGATACCAATCCGTTGGATGACTATTGTGTCTGGGGTATTTTGGAAAGCAAAGTTGGCACTAAAAAATACCAAAGTGTCGATCACCTCAAGCAAGCGCTTCCCCGGGAACGGGCCAAAATACCGCAGAGCAACATTCGGCCAGCGATGTGACGGTTTCATTGTCCGTTTGAAGGCCATAATTCGTGCCAAAGGTGACCAATGCAGCCGAGAAGGCTACCACTAACACGATGCAGCTAAGCAGATTGATGGCAAACGTTGAAGGGCCCCCAAACCTGCAAGAGGAGGTTACTAATAACAGCATTCTACTGTACGGATATAAAATCTGGGCCTGGAGCATGCTCAATAAGCAGAGGGCGTAGCAACTGCTGAAAGTACAAATAACAGCGGCAGTGAGAGTGGCATCTGCATGCCGTAGCGGGTACCTTTTGGTAGCAGAAGAGAGGCAGCAAATATTTAAGGTAAAGTGTCGCCAACATGAAGTCTCAGTACAGAAGGCACAGAAACTGCTGAAAGTACAGAGAACAGCGGCACTGAGAGTAGGACTAGCGATACTAGTTATAGCGGGTAGCGGGTACCTTTGGTAGCAGAAGAGAGGCAGTAAATATTTAAGGTAAAGTGTTGCCAACATGAAGTCTCAGAACATGCTCAAATAAATGAGGAGACTTTTGAAAAATGGCAGACATGATGGCAGCGAGTGACAAATGGAAGATGTACCAGATATAGAAGCATGGACAAAACGGAAGCACGGCAATTTAAACTATTACATAACACAGATGCTCTCCGGACATGGATATTTTCGTAAATATCTGTTAAAGTACGGAAAGAGAGATTCCGCATATTGTTTGTATGAAGTCGAACAAATTTTAGACGAGGCAGAACATACATTCTTCTCAAGCGGTCGGTGGACAAACCTACGCTCAGAAGTACAACTGCCAGCAGGTGCAATGACCAGTGACGAACATAGTTGCGAAAATGATAGAAGCCGAAGAAAACTGGAATGCAATTTCCGAATTCTGCGAGCATTTATTAAAAACAAATAGCTGTAAGTTCGGCCGGACCGAACTTTGAATACCCTCCACCATTTGGAACGAATTTGGCAATTTTCAAAAAAAAAAAAAAAAATAAAATCGGTTAAAAATTCTCTTGAAATCTTAAAAATACCAAATGTAGCCGTCATAGTAGGGTCTAAACGACGAGGTGGACTTGAATAGGCAACTTTTGTCATAAGCTTGCAGAGAAAATTTTCTGGCACAGGCTGTAGTACCCATTACGAACTTCAAATACCAAATTTGAAGCAATTCCGCTAAATTATGTCTCTAAAATCATCAAAATACCAAATATCGGGAGGTGTCGTTATATGGGGGCTATACGAAGACGTAAACCTACACAGACAATTTTCTGTCTTAGGCTGTAGTACCCATTACGAATTTCAAATACCAAATTTAAAACAATTCCGTTGAATAATGTCGCTAAAATCATCAAAATACCGAATATCGGGAGGTACCGTTATATGGGGGCTATACGAAGGCCTGGACATGCACAGACAATTTTCTGTCATAGGCTGTAGTACCCATTACGAACTTCAAATACCAAATTTAAAACAATTCCGGCTAATACTGTCGCTAAAATCATAAAAATACCGAATAGAGGGAGGTACCGTTATATGGAGGCTATAGGAAGACCTAGAGCTGCACAGACAATTTTCCGTCATAGGCTGTATTATTTATTTCGAACTTCAAATACCAAATTTGAAACAATTCCGTTGAATAATGTCTCTAAAATCATCAAAATATCGAATATCGGGAGTTACCGTTATATGGGGGCTATACGAAGACGTGGACCTACATGGCCCATTTTCAATACCAAAAGTCCTGCAGACATAATATACATTTGAGTAAAATTTTATCAATCTACTTCATTTTGTTCGGAAGCTAGAGTGATTTCCACAGATGGACGGACGTCGCTAAATCGCCATAGAATTTTTTGCTGATCAAGAATATACAGATATACTTTGTGGGGTCTAAAATGTATATTTCGAGGTATTACAAACGGAATGACAAGCTTAATGTACCCTCCATACTATGGCAGAGGGACTTAGACAACCCTCTAAGACCTCGAAATTAATAGCAGAGCTTGAACGCAAGCCATAAGAAAAAGGCCTAAGAGGCCCGAAAGCCACCTTGAAGTAATACGAAAGTGGTGCCGAGGTGGTAGTAACTCCCAGAGGTCGGCAGCTGGGTTTTTTAGTCGCTACCAAGATCAAGCCCGACATACCACGATGAGTGACGGCTCACATGAATGCGTAAATGTGAATTTTTCCCAACTGCTCCGCAAAAAAAAATTTGCAGCTCTTATTTTAGTACCACTATATTTTTTTAAAACCCTATTCAAATTAATATTCACAATTCCTCACCTTGTCGTCATTGAGCCATTGATTAACTATCTCCAAGAATGGTCAACCTGTTATCACAAAAAAATGGAACAATGGAAAACTAAAGCATCGGTTTTTTTATTAAAACTTTAAACAAATGCCATAGTTGGACATTCAAACAATCCAATCCAAAATCATCGACTGGCAACATATGCTGGCCACAGGTGATTAATAACTCAAATCATAATTCGCAAATCATATAAATACCGCATGATTTCCAAAAACAGATCAACAGTCTTCGATAGAACAACAATTCAACATCAGTACCCAATTTCCGACAAAAGCCAATAAAATGTTCAAAATTGTAAGTTTGAAAACCAAATTCGAAAGAAATAGAAATTCCAAACTAATTCAATTTTCAAATATTCCTCCAGGTCCTTCTTTGCTCCCTGATTGCCGCAGCCGTGGCAGTTCCCAGACATGGCAGCACCAAATTCGCCCACCAAACCTCCTACAAGGGCCACCATCGCAGTGCCCCCTCCGCCACCTCGGATGATGCCAATGCCGAGGTGAAACATTTCCAATCGGATGTCAGTGAACATGGTTTCCAATACGCCTACGACACCACCAATGCCATTCATGCCGCTGCTGCTGGCAGTGCCTATGGTGAACATAATGGCGATTTCTCTTGGATCTCTCCCGAAGGTGAACATGTTGCCATCCAGTACGTGGCCGATGAAAATGGCTATCAGCCAAGTGGTGATATTTTGCCCACACCACCACCAATCCCCGAGGCCATCTTGAAGGCTTTGGAATACATTCGCACCCATCCTCGCTATGAGGAGGAACCAGTCAGGAAGCAAGTGGTCCATCATGGTGCCAAGAATTACGGCAGACGTTTCTAAGGTGTGTGTATAAAGTTTTCAGTATTGTTTGAACAAATGTTAGCTGCTTCGTTATTTAGAAAATTTAAAAAAAATATTTCGAAAAAACAACAACAAAAAAACTGTTTCAATATTGGAAAAAATGAAGAAATAGAAAAATTCAGGACCGCCTGGCCAACAGAAGCCCACCAGCTCTTTTATGAGCCCTAGAAGACCTACAGCTCTTTTATGAGCCATAGAAGACCTACAGCTCTTCTATGAGCCCTAAAAGACCTTCCGGCCTTCTATGAGCCATGGAAGACCTCCTGGTCTTCTATGAGCCACAGAAGACCTCCTGGCCTTCTATGAGCCATAGAAGACCACCTGGCCTTCTATGAGCCATAGAAGACCACCTGGCCTTCTATGAGCCATAGAAGACCTCCTGGCCTTCTATGAGCCATAGAAGACCTCCTGGCCTTTTATGAGCCATAGAAGACCTCCTGGCCTTCTATGAGCCATAGAAGACCTCCTGGCCTTCTATGAGCCATAGAAGACCTTCTGGCCTTCTATGAGCCATAGAAGACCTACAGCTCTTCTATGAGCCATAGAAGACCTTCTGAAGACCTACAGACCTTCTATGAGGCATAGAAGACCTATAGCCCTTCTATGAGGCATAGAAGACCCAGAGCTCTTCTATGAGCCATAGAAGATCTACAGCTCTTCTATGAGCCATAGAAGACCTACAGCTCTTCTATGAGCCATAGAAGACCTCCTGGCTTTCTATGGGCCATAGAATACCTCCTGGCCTTCTATGAGCCATAGAAGACCTCCTCCAGCTCTTCTATGAGCCATAGAAGACCTCCAGCTCTTCTATGAGCCATAGAAGACCTCCAGCTCTTCTATGAGCCGTAGAAGACCTCCAGCTCTTCTATGAGCCATAGAAGACCTCCAGCTCTTCTATGAGCCATAGAAGACCTCCAGCTCTTCTATGAGCCATAGAAGACCTCCTGGCTTTCTATGGGCCATAGAAGACCTCCTGGCCTTCTATGAGCCATAGAAGACCTCCTCCAGCTCTTCTATGAGCCATAGAAGACCTACAGCTCTTCTATGAGCCATAGAAGACCTACAGCTCTTCTATGAGCCATAGAAGACCTACAGCTCTTCTATGAGCCATAGAAGACCTACAGCTCTTCTATGAGCCATAGAAGACCTACAGCTCTTCTATGAGCCATAGAAGACCTACCGCTCTTCTATGAGCCATAGAAGACCTCCAGCGCTTCTATGAGGCATAGAAGATCTCCAGCTCTTCTATGAGCCCTAGAAGACCTTTTGGCCTTCTATGAACCATAGAAGACCTGCAGCTCTTCTATGCGCCATAGAAGACATATAGCTCTTCTATGAGCCATAGAAGACCTATAGCTCTTATATGAGCCATAGAAGACCTACAGCTCTTCTATGAGCCATAGAAGACCTCCTGGCCTTCTATGAGCCATAGAAGACCTCCTGGCCTTCTATGAGCCATAGAAGACCTACAGCTCTTCTATGAGCCATAGAAGACCTCCAGTTCTTCTATGAGCCTCAAGACCTGAAGGGGTTCTATGAGCCATATGGACAATAGAAGACCTGCAGCTATTTTATGGGCAATAGAAGACCTATAGCCCTTCTATGAGCCATATAAGACCTACAGCTCTTCTATAAGCCATAGGGGACCTTCGGGGCTTCTATGAGCCATAGAAGACCCACAGCTCTTCTATGAGCCATAGAAGACCTCCTGGCCTTCTATGAGCCAAAGAAGACCTCCTGGCCTTCTATGAGCCATAGAAGACCTTCTGGCCTTCTATGAGCCATATAAGACCTCCTGGCCTTCTATGAGCCATAGAAGACCTCCTGGCCTTCCATAGGTAATAGAAGACCTCCTGCTCTTCTATGGAAAATATAAGACCTCCTGGCCTTCTATGGACCATAGAAGACCTCTTCGACTTCTATGGGCAATAGATAAGCTCCTGACCTTCTTGGGGCAATGGAAGACCTCCTGGCCTTCTATGGACAATAGAAGACCTCCCTTCCCCTTACCACCCCCCCTCCAAAACCCCAAATCACTGTAATTAAATTTTCAGTTGTTCAATTTCAAAACTGAAAACAAATAAATTTGACATTTAAAATTTGACAAGATTTGACTGCACCCACCACCCAATCCACTTTGCTTCCGTGTGAACCAATATGTCGGGATACAAGTTTTTTTTAATGATTTACTCAGTTGGTGGTCATAAACGATCAAATGGTCGTGGAACTTCAAACGAAGACCTGTTTGAAATTCAATAAAAACAGCGAAGTGAGCATAATTTCCCATAAAATGGGAGGGAATAAAAAAAATGGTGAATAAAAAGAGGTGTGAAACTATAAATTTTGGTCGTAAAATAAAAAAAGTTAATAAAATTTAACATAACCCTTCCCCCCTCCCCCTATATTATTATGGATTATGGTGCTCTGTGGCAAAGGGTTTTAGATTAAATAATAAAATTTTAGCCGAAATTAAAAATATTGTTATTCCACATTTTTGATGCTCCGCCATTCAAATTATGTCGCCATAAAAACATCGAAACTTATTTAAAATATCGGGAAGATTCTCCAATGATTTTATTAAAAATTCTAAAACAGGTAAATTGCTACGTTTTGCTTCCTACCTACCTGCGTGCTGCTCTAAATCACCAGGCATTTAATTGTTGTCATAAAATTTTTCAAATAAAAAAAATCTGAAACTAAATTTAATTGTTTGTTAAACTGGATTTATTTGAAATTTTTATGGGCTCAGAAAGGAATATCGAAATGAAGCAATAAAATAGTAGCATTAAATTTGGTAGATTTTTATTCGACTTGAATTCACTCTACCCGATGCTGCCACTGAGTAAGTGACTTTAAATATGAATCCGTTTTTCTCAAGAAAATTAAAAATCCAGAATTGAAAATGAAAAACTCTTTGAATTGCTTCATGAAAAAAATTTTCGAATTTCCACCTAATAATCAATAACGTAACCATGAATATTTCTTTTTCCAAATCCGCAAAAATAAAAGATATCAGATTTCAAAAAAAATAAAAAAACATTAAAAATCATTCCACCAAACTCTTTCTAAAATGTCACTACTATTGCCTCCATTTTACGAATATTCCCTCTAATCTTCATCCCAAAAATAAATAATAATTCGAAAATATCCCTTCCAAAATCCATAAGTTTTTTCGCCAGTATCGCGCCCAAAAATCAATAAAAATTGGATGAGTATCCCTTTAAAATTCCACGATAATGTCCCGAATCCGACAAAAAAAGAAAATCGATAAATATCCGTTATCAAAAAATCGATAAATATCCATTATTAAAGTCTCCAAATATTGCTTCCGATTCTCAACCTTCCGATCCTCAACCTAAAAAATCGATAAATATCCGTTATCAAAAAATCGATAAATATCCATTATTAAAGTCTCCAAATATTGCTTCCGATTCTCAACCTTCCGATCCTCAACCTAAAAAATCGATAAATATCCATTATCAAAGTTTCCAAATATTGCTTCCGATCCTCAACCTTCCGATCCTTAACCTAAAAAATCGATAAATATCCATTATCAAAGTTTCCAAATATTGCTTCCGATCCTCAACCTAAAAAATCGATAAATATCCATAATCAAAGTTTCCAAATATTGCTTCCGATCCTCAACCTAAAAAAGCGATAAATATCCATTTTCAAAAAATCGATAAATATCCATTATCAAAGTTTCCAAATATTGCTTCCGATCCTCAACCTTCCGATCCTTAACCTAAAAAATCGATAAATATCCATTATCAAAGTTTCCAAATATTGCTTCCGATCCTCAACCTAAAAAATCGATAAATATCCATTATCAAAAAATCGATAAATATCCATTATCAAAGTTTCCAAATATTGCTTCCGATCCTCAACCTTCCGATCCTTAACCTAAAAAATCGATAAATATCCATTATCAAAGTTTCCAAATATTGCTTCCGATCCTCAACCTAAAAAATCGATAAATATCCATAATCAAAGTTTCCAAATATTGCTTCCGATCCTCAACCTAAAAAAGCGATAATATCCATTATCAAAAAATCGATAAATATCCATTATCAAAGTTTCCAAATATTGCTTCCGATCCTCAACCTTCCGATCCTTAACCTAAAAAATCGATAAATATCCATTATCAAAGTTTCCAAATATTGCTTCCGATCCTCAACCTAAAAAATCGATAAATATCCATTATCAAAAAATCGATAAATATCCATAATCAAAGTTTCCAAATATTGCTTCCGATCCTCAACCTAAAAAAGCGATAATATCCATTATCAAAAAATCGATAAATATCCATTATCAAAGTTTCCAAATATTGCTTCCGATCCTCAACCTTCCGATCCTTAACCTAAAAAATCGATAAATATCCATTATCAAAGTTTCCAAATATTGCTTCCGATCCTCAACCTAAAAAATCGATAAATATCCATTATCAAAAAATCGATAAATATCCATAATCAAAGTTTCCAAATATTGCTTCCGATCCTCAACCTAAAAAAGCGATAATATCCATTATCAAAAAATCGATAAATATCCATTATCAAAGTTTCCAAATATTGCTTCCGATTCTCAACCTTCCGATCCTCAACCTAAAAAATCGATAAATATCCATTATCAAAGTTTCCAAATATTGCTTCCGATCCTCAACCTTCCGATCCTTAACCTAAAAAATCGATAAATATCCATTATCAAAGTTTCCAAATATTGCTTCCGATCCTCAACCTAAAAAATCGATAAATATCCATTATCAAAAAATCGATAAATATCCATAATCAAAGTTTCCAAATATTGCTTCCGATCCTCAACCTAAAAAAGCGATAAATATCCATTATCAAAAAATCGATAAATATCCATTATCAAAGTTTCCAAATATTGCTTCCGATCCTCAACCTTCCGATACTTAACCTAAAAAATCGATAAATATCCCTTATCAAAGTTTCCAAAAATTGCTTCCGATCCTCAACCTA